GCAGGATCCGGAGTAAGCTTCCCACTGCACCCTAAAGGAGGGCTCGCAGTAGCTTGCAGTAACTTGCAGCCTCCTGCATCCACAGCCACCCAGAGAGCGTGTTGGACAGGCACTCGGCGGGCTACTGCAGGTAACATGCACCGGGCCATTTCTTTGTACCCACTCGCTGTACCTGTCCCTGGGCTACCCATGAGCGGTGTAGAGAAACAAAGACAACACACTCTCCCCCAGCCTATAGCATTTTCAACTTTTTGCGTTGAGCCGGGAGGATTTGCGTGACAGGCGGACGTACAGTGGGTCGGCTGCGGAAGCTATGTGGAAATCTTGCGACATCGAGCATCGACATGGCCGGGTTAGCCAGGAACACCCGTCCATCTCACCATGTCGCGAGTGAAGGTGTGGATATTCTGGGGCTCCCATGACGGTGTGCGCCTCAACGACCAGCCTCATCACGATCATTGCCACGAGAATGTACGATCATTGCAAGGAAGTCGTTGGGGAAGAGCCATCGTGACTGTACGCGACTGCTAACCTTCAACCCCCGATGCCCGATGACTCCTATGCTTTTGAAAATTTTCTTCTCGACAGCACGTTCACGGCTGTCAGGCCTCATCCGGCATCGTCAAGGAATATTCAAGAAACTTGTTTACACATGACAATAATACACAACTTGCCGTGGTAACCTCACCGCCATGTTTTGAAGTTCCCGTCCTCAAGCCTCGCACCAGTTAGCTGCCAGTCCAGACACACAACTACAGTTCGCAGTATAGAGGCGCTATAGCAGAGATTTTCTTCTCACCGCCGTTCACCGCCCTGCACTCAACAACAACAAGGAAACAATGTCGCCCGCGTCCCTCGACACCGCGCGCTGGAGCCAAGCAGAGGTAGTGTTGCTCGACATTGGTAAGTGCCATTCTCGAGTCCCGCATGGCTAGTCGAGAACGACTGCAATCAGCCTCCACCAACCTCGCGATGCATGCAGCTGTCTAGTCAGCAACTTCCCGATGGCGATGCCTGCCACCGACAGCACCTTGCACTGTCTGTGTTGCTGCGCTCTCCCGGGCGCTACCCCAGCTTTTGCCTGCGCCACCCAGCTTCGCCTTCCAATGCGTTGACTGGCCTAAACATCTCAGGAGGCTGACTGCTGCCAGAGGGCACTATTTCCAGCATCTCATTCGTCAAAGATGTCATGGTAAGCCTTCATGTTTCTATTCTCGCGTCTCACTTCCCAGCGCTTCCACCTTCCCTCGTTGTCTTTTTGTTCGTCTCGAGGCGCATCTTCCCCGCATTCGGAATCGTGATCACCACCACCAACCTCTGTCGAGAATCACGCCGGCCCGCCCTCCCATGCCAGCCTGGTGTCACCCGGCAATGATGAAGCCACTCATGGCTCCCCTCGCCTCTTTCGCCTCCCCTGAGTTCTAGATGCTTTTCCGACCTGCACCTGCCACTTCAACGATGATCTCGCGCTTCCAACCTCCGTCATCTGTCACGCGATGCCCGCCAGTGGGGTTTCCTCTTCGCGCCGTCTCGCTCACAATAGCCGCAGTACCCGTATGCACTAGACAGTCTCACAAGACTAGCACGCAATTCGTGGTCGGATGCCGACTTCCAACCCCTCATCGCATCGTTCCCAGACGACGCCAAACGCAGCGCCGATGCGCTACTCGCCCACGTACAAGACCTTACGCGGCGCGATGTCAAGGCTGTGTACTTGAAGCAACTACAAGGTGGGTAACAAATTGTGTGTTTCAACATGGACGATGCATCCCGGGCCTCCCATGTCCAGCCAAATGATTGCCAACACCAAGCGCCGACACCGCGCCGCTCTAAAGCGGCTAGCTCGATCGAAACAGAGTAGTGATTCGATCGGCCAGTCACCACCGGCAGCATTATCGCGATAGTCGCCGCCTGTCGCAGCGACCCTTGGGGGTGCCAAACCCTCTTCCTGTCAGCTCGACGCCGCTCCAACACCCTATTCTGTCCATCGCACCACAAGCGTGGCGATCAGCCCATTCTAAACGCTGCTTGCGTACTACCATCACCACACATGCACATTGCCTTTATCGATCTTATCAATCATCGGCCAATACACATAGTTGCACCGCAAAACTAACCCCTTTGCTCGCAGGCCACCTATGGACAACCGGGTTCCGCAACGGTGATCTCAAAACCCCGCTCTTCAGCGATGTAATCCCCCAACTCGAGCAGTGGAAAGCAGCCGGCAAAACACTGGCCATCTTCTCCTCCGGCAGCGTGCAGGCTCAGCTCCAGTTCTTTACCTACGTCACAGACGGTCCGAATACGCGGGACATTAAACCCCTGTTCGCCGCCCACTACGACACGGTGAACGCCGGTCCTAAAATGGAAAAGACGTCCTACGAGAAGATATGCCGTGAGCTGCGCCAGGACGTCAAGAACGTCGCTTTCTTGACTGATAATGTAAAAGGTATGTGGTATTTTCGTGAGGCTGTTACGGCGAATGGTGATTTGAAACAACACACCACCGCCTACTCACCGCCCTTACATCTGCACCCCACCACCGCATCTCCAACCCACTCTTTGTCTCGCGTTCCGAATTCGTTACTTACCTATCATCCCACCATCACACGTCCTTCGTCACGCCGCATATTCTCGTCTCTCGCCTACTGCCCCTCTCGTCCACATCCGCGTGTCTCGTTCCACTTAAGTCTTTCCCATCACGCGACCCCACCATGTTTCACATCGATACATCGATACATCTTCTCCATCGCACGTGGCTAGCTCCATATGCACACTTCATGTACAGTGACTAACATGTTTTGTGATTTGAATAGAAGCTGAAGCGGCGATGGATGCGGGTGTCTATGCTGTTGTCGTTGACAGACCGGGTAACGCGCCGTTGGAGGATGAGTCGAGAGAGAGATTCGCTGTCATCGAGACGTTGGATGCGTTGCCTTGAGCGGATCGACGATGAATAGGGTTGTTGTCGCCTGGAGCGCTGCGAGGAGGGCTTCGTACGTGGTCGTCGTTGTTGCGACACGGGTATCGAGGCTTGATAACGGGTTTGTTCTTTAGAAAAATACCAACATGAGCTCTTGCCTTCATTGAAGTACCTTCTCAGAGTAACGAAGCTCTCATCATATTTATGCTACATGTGATCCGCCGATGGTGCGATAAGATCCCAGCGTGTGTTTGGCAATATAGCTCAACCCGACATCGCGAATTGTTGCCATCACTGTAAGCTTATGAACAATTTTCTGAAGTGATCTAGTAACTCGAATCTTTTTCGTCGTCTAAACTATGCAGCTGATCGAGATAGCAAGGACAGGGAACGTGCTGTATACGTGTTTTTTCATCATGGGTTCTACACACCAAACCACGAAAAGAATTCCTCCACACCGCAAAACCCCTCAAAATATCGCGCAGCTTGTCAGCCTCACATAATCCCCACAACTCCTCATAATTTTGCAAGTCTCTGGAACAGAAAAGTCTTGTGGTGATCATTTTTTTGCACTCTCAATACATTCCACCCAATCCCGATATTCTACAACCCACCCATCCACTCATCCACCTTTCCACCAATACACCTCTACCATAAATTTAGGTAAACACACAATACTATGTAGCTCGTAGTACTCCCAATTCCATTCATTTGAAAGTACCACCAGCTACATCGTATCCTCTATCCACCCAAACCCATACCGAACCCCCCGAAAAAAGCGGCCAACGAAACGCGCAATCTTTCCAGTACGGTAGAACAAGTTCTGAGAAGGTAACTAGCACAGAGCAGACATTCTAAATCGAGTTGCTTTGATACCTCGCTCCGAAGATTCTAAATTGAATCAAATCCAAGAGACGTATCATAGCAGATCAAATCAGAATCCCTCCTTTGTCCTGGCCTACCTCTGACTGACATTACGCCAATCTTTAAGATTTCGTATGTTGAAGGTTGCTGTAGCAATCTGCAACTTACAAAGTCTAAAAGATTGGGGCGATGATTAAGGTGTGGAAGGTGTGCGGGCTACGAATACTACGTACCCTGGTCTTGGAGATTATATCAGTAAGAATATTGAATGCTGGCATATCCATCTATGCCAGCATTGAATATTCTTACTGATATAATTTCCAAGACTGGGGGAGGGGAGGAATTCCGATACAGAAAGTGTGCGCCCGTTTGGTTACTCGATCGTGCGGTCGCGGAATGATAGCAAGCGTGGTGGTTTTGGATGGCTGACACGCCCGTTCTAGTATATGGAGAGGTCGTGCTATGCGAATTGCTTAGAAGAAGGATTATCTGGGTCAACTGTCGATATCCGTTGATCTCATGGGTGCTTCTGCTCCACCATACCAAGCTTCAGGTACATTGGAGCAGAAGCACCCATGAGATCAACGAAATCCGCCGACGTTTGGTCACCAACAACCAACACATTAGTCGAAAGCTCGAGAGACCATCGATTACGCCGCTCGTGGCCTTAGCGTTCAGGTCGACTGTCAATGTCCGTTGATTTTACGAATTCTTGAAAAAAACGCGCCACAGATTCATAGACCGCCTCTGCAGGAATTCGTAAAATCAACGACATATACACAGATCGTGATTTCGCATATGATTGTGTCAGTGATCTATGCCCGAAGCATCGCGAATTTCGCTCGATGGAAATACGCGGTGCTTTGGACATAGATCACTGACCCAATCATTAATTATACGCAGATCCATCGCCCGACCTGTGGTCAACAAAACGGGCTTAGTCGGAAGCCTAAGGCCATAGCCTAAGCCAATCGTTGACTACACGCAGGCGAGAGCCTGCCACTCTCGTGGACGGCTCGTTGGTGTTGTTGTCTCGGTCGTCGCATCCGCTTTGAGGGTTAGGGTTGGAGATTGATAGGGACGTGTACGGGATAATTGCGAAAGGGATCGGCGTGGAATGAGCGTGTGCCGCCTGCGAAGCTCCCACAATGCGACGACTCAGCTCCAGACCCGGACTTTGTGAAAACCTGATCCCCTCCCGTATTCCACCTCTTCAAATTTCCTCGCCAGCGACCCCCCTAACCCACTCAACCGTCTCTTGCACACGACTCAAAAAAGGACTATGCCCACACCCCAACCTAGTCACCTGCACCTCCCCACCTTCCGCCCTTGCCATCTCAATCATCTTATCCTGCGCAATAACCGGCATACTCCTATCCTCCTCACAAACCAAATAAGCACTAGGAATGTTCTTCCAAGCCGCCCCCGTCGTCTTCGCATAAGCGCTCGCCAGCGAATGCGGTTGGATTTGCGAAAACCAGTATGCCTGTTCGTCGGGAGGAAGGTCGGAGTAGAAGACATGTGGGTCGAGAGCGTGGATGTAAGGTCCGGAGATTTCAGTCCAAGGAGGAAAGGTGTGGTTTACCGAGTCCATTAGGCTGACACCTTCGGGTAGCATGCTGGCAGCGATGTATCCACATCTCACTACTCCGCCTTTTTTCCCTTGGGCTTCTCGCTCGGTTTTTCCCAAGCCGACGAGCGCGCTGCTGGCGACGATGCCGCCCCAACTGTGGGCTAGTACGACGACGTCGTTGCCGGAGTCGCCGATGGCGGTGTTGATCATGGACCGGACGATGGCGATGTCGGCTGAGAGGTCAGTGGTAGGTGTTGTGCTGCCGACGGAAGGGAGTTGGCGCGCGTGCGTTGTGTATCCAAGAGCGTGCAGCTCGGTAGTAAGAAGGGAGAAGGCGGAGGGTGTGTGCCAGGCACCGGGAATGAGTATGATTTGGGGTTTAGTCATTGTGGTGGCGTTTGAGAATGTCATTGGGAGGGGTGCTGTCTGTGATGCGAATAGGTCTGCGGACTACAGCAACTTAAAAGGCTCGCAAAGTAGGTGACCTAACGTCGGTGTAGGCTCCGGGGTATTTAGCTGTTTCCTAGGTCGGCCGAGAATGAACGAAATGGTCAACCACGACCAGTACTAGCAAGTTTATCGCGCACTCCGAATGCGCCTTCCTTCGACAATGACAGTTATGCAGTCCAACATAGTAGTTCCCAGACGTGGAAGTTTATCGCGCAATTATCCCGATGAAGCCATCCCCGACGACAAAGGCTATGACCCGGGGTCCTTGGGCACCGGAACTCCGAAGCTAGGTTGTCACGGGCGTGAATGGGTATGGGAACGGCGGCATGCCTCATCCATAGAATCCCCCGAAATACGGCCATATCTCCACTCTCTTTGCTCGAAGTAGGCATGTATTCCTTCTGACCTGGTCCTCCCATCGTATCTTGACAGTCTTTCTACGCGTACTTCCTACAATCCACGAGGCCATTGGCACTAGCTGGCTTCATTGTTTCTGACTGGAGAGAAAGGACAATTGCTCTGGACCGTATAGTCCGGTCAAGAGTCCCAGCCTGCTCCTATAGCTCCATGTTCTGTCTTCATCCTCTTATAAAGCATCTCCCATATCTGATCATTCCGTCAAAGTGTTGATACCGGCACTTGCGTCCGAGTCCGGTGCGGTGTTCACATGGTGTGCGTCGTATTGCCCGATGGCATATTGTTGTCCGTATACGTCCTGTCCACTGTCATCCACTGCAGTATCCGTCGAAGTGTGTTGGACTGGCAAAAGGAAAGAGGTGCAGAACGAAATTGGTAGTGTGGAGTGGGGCAGACATGGTGTGAAGTATTAGCGAGGTATGTAGTGCTCACGACAATGCATCCAACCAATCAGAGCTAGAGGCTTGGAAGGGTATCCTTGTCTTTTCGACAGCGCCAGCATTCACATGGTGGAACCAAGGTTTGTATGGAGACTTGTATGAAGACTTGTATACGAAAAGCTGGAGCTTGGGTATTGTTGTGTATCTTTCGCCGTTTTTCGGCAATGTATGCGCCTCTAACGCCGACGGTGCCTGAAATGCCCTCGGTACATGCTGAGTGCCGACTCGCTGCATGTGTCTAAAAGAATCTCCACCAGATGAAGACGATGATGATGAAGGCTAGTCCACCGATAGGTCCGTACTGCTTCAACAACAACTCCCAGTTGATGCGCACGGCAGCCTTCTTGTACTTCCTACTGTCCTCCCTTAACCGGCTCGAGATATCGCCCATCCTCTCCAGACTGTCTCCTCGATACAGCAGATCCTCAATGTTCTTGGTCATGACCTTGGTAACATCCTTCAGCTCATCGTTCAGCTTGTCCAAATTCTGTGTCGCCCTCGAATCTTGGTATGTCTTCTTTGTGCTCTGAATGAACTGATCGAATCCGACGAACTCGTACGGTCGGCATGTGGGTGAGAGGTACTGTTGCGGTTGGTATGTAGTGGTGAATTCGCGTTGGAGGTCGGAGAGGTATGTGAAGGCGAGTTTGCGCGGGTAGGAACGGTCGCATATGCAGAGGAAGCAGAGGTCGCCTTCGATGATGTAGCTGGTGGTTGCGTTAGCATGTGATCGAGGATGCTTCTCTGCACGTAAAGGTAGGGGCAATGCGCATACTGGAATGTGTAGTTTCCGCTCTCTATACTCGCTTGTTGTTCGGCGTTACGGTTTAGGCGTCGCTGTAACATCTTCACTTTGTTCGTGGCCTCGATGAACTCGGCATCATTCTAGAAAATGTGAGTCCCAGTTTTAGGCTACGTGAACAGCTCGAGAGGCGCCGTTACCTGGTTATTGTCGACCGAGGCTACCAAATGAAGGCCTAGACATGTATAAGCACGCGTGCAGCCTTCAATATGGCTGAGTTACTGACCATCGAGCCGCGATATTATGGTGTGTTTGATCATGGCGGCGGTTGAGGGTGCGGAGAATTACAGCTGATGAGTGTACAACGTCGCCAAATATTATGACGAGCGCAAAGTCAGGGCCGAGGGTGAGTAGTCGCGTGGTAGGGGATACGTGTCGGGCTGATGATACCAGATCGCAAAGATGACGATGCGGAAAGGTCGCGCGGGAAAGCGCACGGACGCGCCAACGGCCATCACCGAACAACCAGCATGCCGTGACCCTTCAATGCACTGTCCTTCGTGACTCTACAGACGCTTTAATCGGAATTACAAGGTCAGATAGACTATCTGGATTGATATCGGTATCTTTGTGACGGAACATCTGGTACAACCTCAACTCAACGCCCCAGCCACCATGCGGAGCCGAGCTGCTGTCTTCGCGTACCCCTTCAACACCTTCACTCTTTCCATTGAGTGGCGGACGCGCTTTCAACCCTGATTCAAGTCGCTCGAGGCTCAAGCTTCCTAGTGGAACGCGACCCTAGCCATCGGTAGATGAGCCTGGCCGAACGCGATAGCTACTGCCTTAACACAAACGACATCGCACCGGCATTTTGCCAGCTGCCGTGCATCTCATCTTACCCAGGTAGTCACTTGCACCTACGACGTCTTGCAAGAAAATACTTGCTCAAGTTCGACATCAAACTTCTGCATTCAGTCCAAACGACAAAATGTCGTTACCAGTAAGGTGCGTTCCCATTCTTCACTACACCATGTACCGTGCGGCGTCTTCACGACTTGTCTGCCAAACGCGTGACTACCATTGTGCAACTGCTCAATACGACCTCTGCATTCACTTCGCGCACCGACATTCTTCTTTTCACACGTGACTGTCGCTTGGTCCAATAGCCTATTGTTCGCCTGTATCCACTGTCCGACAATAGAAAGCTCAACGCGCACTGGCAACCCATATGTCGTCTCTCTCAGCTTCGATTGACAACCATAGACCTTCGTCCGCCACCCGACTCACCTCCCCACACGACTATCAACCGACACTTCTTTCGCCTGCAGCAAAGCCAGAGCAAACCACCGCACCACCTCCAACGACACCAAACAAACGAGCCAAGATGCATCATTCTGACCCGGACTCCTCACCCCTCTCTTCACCACCCTCGTCTCCATCTAAGCAGGTCTCACCTATCCCCTCAAGTCTGTCGAACCAAGTCCCAGATTCTGCCATCTCGACAACAGAAAACGACTCGTCCATCATGCCATCGATCGAGTCTCCATCCCTACCTCAGCAGGCGCTGGCGCCTGCCTCTACTACTATGCCGACATCCAATATGGGCGCTAAACGCGCATCCAAGCAGAGCCCGAAGAGGTCTCACGAAGAAGTGGATGATGACGACGAAGAGCCCGCCTTCGGTACACCGCCTCCCAAACGCGCAGCCAGGAGTACAAGCTCAGCAACAAAAGCCAAGACTACGAAAAAGAAGACGCCTGCTCCAAAGAAGCCTGCGTCCAAAAAGCCGGCCCCGAAGAAAGCAGCAGCCAAGAAACCCGCTCCTGCAGCAACACCCAGCTCACGCCCCTCGCGCAACCGCAAAGCCCCAGAGCGGTTCGAGGAGTTTGAGGAAAAGCCTACGCCCAAAGCTGTCCCGACGAAGAAAGGGTCAAGCAAAGTCTTCGATCCAGTTTACATCACCACCAACTCCTCCAGCCGCCTAGTCAAAGCCGACATCTACGTAAGTCTTCGTCGCGATCCACTCACCTCTCACAAATCAAAGAGCTCACACATCGCAGCACATGCTTCTTGAAGGACCAGCCTGGACCAACCTCAGCGCAGAGCAGCAAACTACACTCATCTCCATGCTCCCCGAGAATACCACGCACCAAGCTCTCCTCGCCAAGATCAGCGCCGGCAACACAGAAGACACACGGCCTTCAGCGTTCACGCTGGCGAACAACTGCTTCCGTACTGATGTCGCCAAGTTCCAGGAAGATCTCAAGAACGGTCATTTGGCCAAGACGTGGCAGGCGGCTGCTGAGCAGGCTGTGATTGAGCGTGCGGCGGGAGAGTATGATGAGTGGAAAGCGGCGGAGGCGGAGTCGTGGTGGGGGCAGAAGAGCAACTAGAATCCTCGATGGCGGGTGAAGAGCGCGGCATTCTGGTTCGGAGGTTGTTGCATATGGCGATCACGGTTTACTATTGCGCATTATGGCAATGCTGATATGCACATACCGAGACTACGTTTCGGTGAGCGTGCTTTGTGCGGTGTCATCCGGACCTTAGGAGTGCGACATCAACCACGTCATGGCTGGGGGAACTTGGTGGGCAACCCCGAGGTTCAGTTGCTACATCTAGTACGTATCTTCCCTCCTAAATGTCATTTCTGCAAAGGCATATGTAAAAGCAAAGTCTTTCCAATACTCCGTGTGTCTTCTCGAATCCAGCTATGACTGTCTCCTTATCTCTTTGTTCCTTTGTTTGGCTCCCGACCGCATCAGTGAAAGACCAGAACTCCCCCCCAACGTGAATTTTCTGTTACGTCAGCCCACACTACTGCGACTTAGCGAGTGTAAACAAGAGTTTCTCTGTTTCCTTGCATTCATTGAGTCAAGGTCTTGTTTACCCCTCTACCTTTGGATATTTTCAGCTCACTGCGACGACACCACGACGACACCACGACGCGCACTCCCGCATTCATCCGCAACCGCAGTAGCATCAAGGACACTGAGGCTCAGAGAAATAGCCCAAAGGAACTACACCGCAACCGAACAAGCGAACACTTGCGCGACAAGGTCTCTACCGCAGTCACGCTAACAGCGTAAGTCTGAACCCCGCCTCATCATCCCATCCACACGATTACTAGCACACCCTTCAGCGCTGTGACAAGTAGCGAAGACGTTTCCGTCTACCACCCCTTTACATACTGCGCCAGAGACATCCGATCTCCTGCAAAGCGTGATCACCAACTACGCGGCCGTCGCCAGGACCGCCACCACCACCGCCACAGTAACGGCGACTAACACCATCAAGAGGACCGCAAACAAAACACCAACAGTCACCACTTCCGCCACCTCCAACAACACAGCCGCAAAAATGGCCGCTTTCGTCCCACCAACTCTGTTCAAGCTCGTAAGCGCCGGCTACACTATCATGAACAAGGCCAATTCCGCCCTCGAATATCGCGCCCTGGAATACGCATTGTACTCCGCCATGACCGTTCGGGGCACTGTAAGTGTGATGAGGATCTGGAAAGGCACAAGGACTCCACCAGGAGTCGACCGGAACACATGGAAGGCTATCACTTGGCGCGTTATTAACTGGCTTCATATTAAGCTTAAGACGAATGTTGGTCTACGGAAAGAGCTGGAAGAGGCGAAGAAGCAGCAGAGGGAGTACGAGATGAAGGAGAAGGCGAGCTCTGATCGAGCGCGTCGAACTACACACATCGACGAGGTTCCAGACTTTGCGACACCTATGTGCGAAGAGCCTACACAAACACCAGAACTGGTCCGCAAACTACAGGAGGCACTCAAGGACACGACCGAGCGCCTGGAACGCAGCAATGCGCTGGTCAAAGAGCTTCAGCAGTCTACGAGCAAGTCTGCGCAACCGAGTAGAATGTCCACCTTGTCTCACAACTCATCAACGCCAAAGCGAGATGCACTGGAGGATATGGGGCATCAACTTCGGGCGGCGCGGCAAGAGGCTGTAGACGCCAAGATGGAAGCTGATTCCAAAGACGAGCAGTTACGGCTGGTGCAGAATGAGGCCGATGTGGCTAAAGCCAAAGTCGCTTCGCTACTGGCTTCTCATGGTCGAGAGCCGAAGGCAGTACCGGAAGAGATCGAGGCGGTTGAAGCTCAAGTGGCTTCGCTGAAGGCCGATCTGGAAGCTGCACGACAAGAAACGCAGACGGCTAACGTGGAACTCCTCTCAGTCAAGGAGCAATTGGGTTGTGCGAACGAAGCCATAAAAACCGCTGGATCTGGCTTGGCCCAGGTGAAAGAACTCGTGGGAAAAGTCCAAGAAGAGAAGGAAGAGGCTGAAGCCAACGCAGCTTCTCTGACCATGCAGTTGCAAGCGTCCCGAGAAGAAGAAGAGAAGGGCAGAGCCGATGCAGCTTCGATGGAGAGAGACTTCCACGAGGTGCGACTACGACATAGCAAGGAAGTCACCGCACTCAAAGAGCAGGTCAAGGAGTGGGAAGGCATCGCTGCGGAGGCGAAGGAGGTCAACGATAATGTGCAGACCGCCCTCAACGACGAGAATGAAGAGCTCAAAGAGCAGCTGAAGAAGGAGGCAGCCCGTCGCGAGACACTGGAGATGGAAGTGAAGAAGTTGAAGTCGGAGACTGACGGTGCGAAAGCTACAGAGATGGCTGCACCCGCCGCGAAGTCAATCACTCCATCTGAGACGCAGAAGCCACCGAGCGCGATCTCTTCCAACCATCTCATCGATAACCAGCCACGTCTTGTCTCCGTCGCCGGACTCACAAGCCCATCTACACCCATCCCTACCGCATTACCAGGCCCTGCAACCACTCCCACAGAAACCTCGACGCCAAGGTCGGGATACACACCTGATCACAAAACTCTCATCCAAGACTGGAACACCAGAGAAATCGGGCTCCCGGTATATCTAGAAAGGTTGAATGCACTAAAGCGAAAGTCTGACGACGCGGGAGAGACACCCAGACCGATCAAACAGCTTCGGCTCAGCGGCGAGAACACCGAGCTTCCTACTGGAAATCTACTGACGCCCGGTGGCGGACCGGCATTCAAATTCGCCATACAAGAACCAGGCGAAGAAGAAGAACAGACAGAAGACGATGGCGACGCATCTATCGACCTATTCTGGGATTCTTTCGAGGGCGACGCGGACAACTCAGGCACTTTCACATACGGCTTGGGCGACGAAGTTGGCGCGGAGGCAGCAGCTCTTCCCGAGCAAGACGCAGCAAAGGGCGAGACCAACACTCACGGCGATACTCTCGTCATTGACGGCGATACCATCATCGATGAGAGCGATCACAGCAACGACGATCTCTATGCCATGCCTTCGCCGAGTCCGAATAAGCAGCCGCCTCAGGCTACTGCTGATATGTCCGGCATCGAAATACCCGACGTAGACATCCCCGCCATTGAGCTTACTCCAGCTACCAAGCGGAAGATCAGCATCGACGACAAAGAAGGCTCACCTAGGTCATCTCAGATTCCAAGGAGTAAGGAGGACCTTGGTGGTGAGCAGACTCTGGCTTTGGAGAATATGACTCCAATTGCCGTTACTCGCAAGCCTGCGGTCGTATTGACCCCTGCTACGAAGCGGCTCTTGACAGAAGATGACGGTGAGGAGCCGCCGAGGTCGTCACAGATGCCACCTAGATCGTTGCAGCGACCGCCTAGGTCATCAAAGGCGGCGAGGACGACGGTTGACCTGGGTGATGAGCAGACTCCCACTCTGAACGAGATGATGATAGAGAACGTTGCCGATGCATCTCGTGAAGGGGACGAGGCGACTGAAGTCAGCGGTCCATCCCAGGTCCCGGCCAAGAAGCACGATGCTTCATCAGAAGTACATCCCGCGTCGACGGAGCCAGCAGACCCAAACAACAACAACAACAACGACACCACAACATCCAACACCGCCGCAACAAACGTAGTCAACACCGCCGGCGCCATGAACCTTGCACCAGCCCAAGTACCGGACAACAGCACTCTTTTACCCGAACCCGTCGCAAGTCCCGGTAGAAGAACACGCAACGCGGGAAAGCCTGTAGGATCTCTCAATGAAAATGTGTTGAGTAAGATGTCTGCGTCGCCAATGAAGGGTGAGAAAGAGACAGTTGAAGAGGGTGCGAAGGGAAGGGGCAAGTCGCCAGCGAAGACCAGGGCGAAATTGCCGACGAAGACAGCAGCGAAGGCACCGGTAAAGGCACCGGCAAAGGCACCGGAGAGGTCGCGAGTGAGCAGGAGCCCGTCTAAGGCAAAGGGTGACAGGCAATAGCTTCTGGCGAGGCCGATGAGAACCACAAGAACGGGAAGGAGAACGGAGAACGGAGAACGGAGAACGAGAACAAGGACAAGATCGGAGAACGGAAAAAAAGAACGACACGAGCGCAACAACAATCGACGTGACGTCGCAAAAACACGACTAGATCTCTCGACTGCATTCGCGAGGCTCGTGTATACATATGTATGACACGAGGATACGAAGCGATGCAGTCTCCTTCCCCCCCCAGAAAAGGACGTTCACAAGACAACTAGCGGGACAGTGCCGATAGGGTATCTCCCAGCGAGAAAGAGCAGGAGAATATACCAATCAGTGCGACACCATTAATCTGGGTGTTGGCATTGATGGCGAGGTATAGGACGGGTTTGGTGTGGTGATGTGATGGAAGGGATGATGTGATGAAAGGGATGGAAACGATGATTTTGGTGGGGTTTTATTGACCGGTTTGCGATGGTGGTGGTGGAGGGGTTGGTGGAGCGGTGTTTTGTAGCACGACGTTGTTTGGAAAGGAGGACGATCGGGAAGAGGGAAGAGAAAAGAGAGATATGGCTGAGGGGCGGGATGTCTGTTGTTACAGTTTACAGTTGAAGAGAGATGTCGCATTGGGAAGTTGTAGGGATGGGGAGCGCTGATATCGTCAAAGAGAAATAGTTGGGCGCGACAACGTTGGAGAAGAAAAGTATTACAAATCTCCAAAGAGGGATGAAAATGAATAAGATTGGAACAGGAAGCGCTGCTATCTCAAAAGAGAGCTGGTATAGATAATGTAAGAGAAGATGACGAATGGGACGCGGCGAGTGTGGTCAAGCCGTGGAAAGATGGATAGAAAAGAAGAGCCCACTCATCAGATTGAGTAGCACATTGCCAGACGTCTGAGTTGGGTAATGCAAAGGTGCGCTTGCAGCAGTTTGTGGTGTGCCGTCTGCGCTATCCTTTTCTTTGACTTAGATGGTGAAAACATGTGTTCACGTCCATATTGAATCCATGGTCACAGTCGATGTAGACTTGATCATTCATCTCCCCATATCTACCATCCCAGGACTACATGACTGCCAAGAACCACGCCTTCAGTATCCGAGTGACCTCCAATGTGCGCTGACCGCTACCATCACTTCCTGCCTACCAGTGGTAGTCCACCTTGGGGATAGCCTCTGACCGAGAAGCACCCCTGGGCGAGCCTGAACGACCGCGACCGCGACTACTTCCTTGTAAATGACTACCTGCCCGTCCACGAGACCTGCTTCCTCCGCCAGATTGACCACGACCGTCCATCTGGCCACGTCCACGAGAGCCGAAATCCGAGTGACCGTCATACTGAGGAACAGCTTTCGCCGCAGGCTGTTCCAGCTTTGGCGCGAGAACAGACGCAAGGGGTACAGGTACGCCGCCGTCTCCAGTCGCTTCATGATCGCTCCAGCCCTCAGCATCGTCCTTCACCCTCTGTTCGGCATCCTGGAGAACAGCCTGGAGTTTAGCATTCATCTCATTCTCTCGCAGATCGTCCAACTCCGGGGAACCACGCAGAGTAGCCTCCTTCACGCAGATGGCTAGCATAGCCCACACGGTATATACAGCATCGTTGCCTGCGTTATGAAGAAACCACGCGGGGACATTGAAGGCGTTCATGATCCGGCCTAAACTGGTAGGCTGCTGCTCCCGACGCCAGACTTTGTACATGGTCGCCGTGTCCATGGCCTCGAGGATGTTCTCTACCTTCATTGGATCGTAGCCAAGTTGCTGGAGGTAGCGAACGTCGCCCAGAGTATCATGGCCGAGGAAGACAATGTTACGCTTCTCAGTGGGATCAAAGTGGCTGAGGAAGTCGTCGTCGTCTTGGGCTGCGAAAGGTGCGTGGAAACAGGCTGCGACGTGACTCGCGGCTTCTTTGAGTGAAATAAAGGTTGAATGACCGAACTTGAAGCTATCAGGATGTCCAGCAACGAATTCGGAATTGACCAGGTGACGATGTTCCTTGATGCGAAAGTGACGGGCACGAATCTTCTCTCTCCAGGCCTCGCCGTCCTTGCCAGGCGGAACACCAACCAGCTCGCGTGTATCCAAGGTCGCGACACCGACTTCAGTGATCTTGTGATGAGCCCTCTCGTACGACTCAACATCAACACAGACGAAGACGACAGACTGGTCGAAAGAGAATGGAGCTGGCTGGGATGGGTCGACTGCAGGAGACAAGGTGGACGATGTCGGATCCTGGACAGAATCGCGTAGACCGAGATACCTGGACGCGCGTTTGAACTGATCCGTCATTGACTTGTTCTTGCCCAGTCGCTCTTGCTGCTTCTTTGCTTTGTTCGCCTTGTTCTTTGCTTTCTGTGCTTCAGCCAGGTTCTCCATTAGTTGCTTGAAGTCCTCCAGAGTGGGTTGTTCGAGCGGTGGGTGTGAAGATTCGCCTGCCGCGCGAAAGTGCTCGTTGGGGGCGTTCTCGGCCATGCTATCGACGTCTTCGCGCGAGTGCGAGCGTCCAAGGTATCGAGGCAAGCAGCGGGGATGATCAGGGAATTGTACGAGTAGGCCCTGGAGATCAATGTCAGTCTAACTCTTCCGGAAGTACGTATGAGCGGGCAATGTTACCTCCTCACGCTGCTGGTCGCTGATCCTCAAAGAGAGATTGAGGTGCTTGTTGATCTCACCAAGCAAGGCCAGAACTTGGCTCTCACGCACGAGTACGAAGGGCTTGGAGGTCTCTTCAATATCCCAGATGTAGTACCTGGTGAGGTTAGCAGTGATTGGTGAGAGTTGTCGCAATGCGGTGATATCCTCCAGAGTAATCATGTGAGGTGAACTTACAGGTCCCACTCACGCTGCCAAAACTTTCCTTGGTCGAAAAAGGCGGATGCAATGTCTTGCATATGACTCTTATCGCAGTACTTGTAAGGGTACTTGGACAGGGCCTGGATGGGTGTGAAGTGATGGCGAGGTGAGGCTAGGTCGCCACGTTGAAGATCGGTAGCCGGAAGACCAGCGGCATCAGTTCGAGGAGCTGGGGCTGAGGCGGTGGATAGGCGCATCGAGTCCAGGTTTGGGTTGAAGGAGCTATCGGCGTCTTTGACCCAGACGTATCGGCGCTCGGTGTTCTCGACGGCAGGCGGTGTCTTTATGGACGTATCGATCTTACTGGTTGAGGTTTGTTTGCTGGCAGGCGCATTCGGCGGTGCGTTCTCGAGCGATACACCACCAGTGGAGTTGTCGTAGCTGGCATGGTCAGGCTTGGGTTCGGGGTTGGGCTCAGGTTGTGGAGACACGGGGCGGTCAGGAAGAGCATCAAGGTCTGTTTGAACGAACCTCCGAAGACGCTGTAGCTGTGCCGAAGCCATGGTGGTTGTTTGACGAATAGAACTGGTGGAAATTGTTTGCGATAGAAAGCGCGAGGATATATGCGGGGATCGCGCTTGGACAGACGGATGAGGGAGGAGCAAACGGCAGGCGCGGTGAGCGAGAGCCTCACCCCGACATGAGAGAGAACTGGAAAGAGAGTCTGACTTGATTTGACGGTGATCTTTACAAAGGAGATGTATCAATTGAAGGCGCACGGTGTAGATCTGAGAAGAAGTGTGTTTGAAGGTGCATTATCACGAAAGGTGCACGTATGCCACCTAGATGTCCGTGGAATTACATACCGACTCAGGTAGGTGCAGATGCAAGGCCTTCCCAGGCATAAGGTCAGCGTGACACATGTTTTTGCCAGTAAGGTGACGCACGAGAGTGAAGGACGATATAGTCGCTAGACACAGATGGGGTGTTGCGGGGCGAGCCGGCAGCTGGGCAAACTCGCAAGCGCATGGGCGTTCCTGAGAGATCGACAAGAGGCGCGCCCAAGGCGGCTAGTGCGAACTCCCTCCGCGAACCTCAGTGCGACCAGCTCCCATCAGCCGCCCTATCTTGTCAGCGCATATCGCAACTCGCGCCCTCACGATCGCGCTGATTCTCCTCAATACTTTAGTTGACGCGTGGCTGGAGAGTCTGACGCGTGCGTCGCAACCCTCCATCTACTCTGCCTCCCCGCGATGCGCCATGTCTGAAGCCGACGATGCGCCAGAAATGGCCCAACCCGCCCCGAACCCGGACGCCCAGACGACGGTCAACGACTTCCTCGACTACACCGAATTCTTCCCGTCGGACCTGGTGCGCTCGCTGACGCTGATTGCCGACCTCGACTCGACCTACTCGGACGCCGTCCAGCAGGTGCACGAGCTGACGGTCCAGTATGGCAAGCTGCCCGCCGTCCCCGAGCAAGAGCGCCCCGACCCGGTATTACTACGCAAGAACATCGCCCAGCATCTTCAAAAGGCCATCAATCAGCGAGAGTTTGCCTACACAGAAGCGTCGCGGCTGTATGAGGTCACTGTCCGCCACTGCCAGCGCTCATCAGTCATCAAGCGGAAACTCCAAGCCCAGCCACAGCCGCCCTCACGCGACCCGACGCCCCCGCCAGTCTCTCCCAGCGCCCACCGACCCGTAAACCGCGACTACATACGCCCCGCCCATCTGCGCCTCACCTTCGATGGCGGCCGACATGGCGCCAACACCTCACGACCCCGAGACAGGCACCGGAAGACCGCCGTTCCTCTGCCACGCGGACGTGGGCGCCGCGGTGCAACATACTCGTCAGACTCGGATGGTGGTTCAGGCATCGATGTGGCATCGCCCAGGAAGCGCAAGGACAACCGGGACAGACATTCAAGGGCGACTGGGGGCAGGTCGCGCGCTGCTGGCGTACTCGGTACCAACGTGCACAGCTCCATCGCCGGCATATCCACCAGCAATGCGCTCGCACAATTGGCCCCACCACCAGCCGATGCGAAACCTGGTAGCAAATGGGCGCCCTGGAAGAAGTTGACCGAATACGAAATGGCCGTCCTGCGCAAGCAGATGAAGAAGAACGCTGTATGGACTCCTAGTCAGACCATGATGATACGCGAGCTGGAGAAGAAGCACCGCACAGAGGCCGACTACGAGAGGGAAAAGGCTCGCTGCGAGGCGACAGGCGAACACTTCCTCGACGAAGAGCCCGAGACGCTGCAACAGATTATGACGGCTTCTGGCCTGGGGCTTTTGGCACCGCATGGCCCGCAGGCAGCAAATCCACCCCCGCCCATCGAGTCTGTCGAGGAAGATTCCAGGGAAGAATCCGGTCCAGTCAGCATCCGCCTCAAGCCTGTCGCGGCAAAAGAAGGCAGAAAGCTCGACCGCATGTCACAGCGCCAAAAGGCTATGCACGACGCCCAGGAGCTCATTGCCACTTCTGAGAAGGTAAAAGAAGCTGCTAAGGAGCTTACGGAGCTCAACTTCAGCTCTAGTGTTGCAACTGCGAATCAGAAGAAGAAAACCCCGCTCAGGCTATCGAACAAGCGGAAGCGCGATGCATCCCCTCCACCCACCACCGACGGCGCCATCGCGACCACCAGAGAAGCATCGGTAGCAACTCAAGACAGCGCGTCAAGGCCGCCAGAACCCAAGCGCGCCCGTCTGCAGCTCATTGCTCCTGCACCAAGCTCGGTCGCCTCCCCGATACCGACTCCCAACTCGACCGTGTCCACCCCTCGCGATCGGACGGCCTCCGTTGTGCCCTCCCCCAGAGTAAGCACACCGGTGCCAGTCCCAGAACCTGTAAAGCCATCGACGAATGGGAATACCGTCCAAGTGCCGCTTGCGCCAGCAGGTCCAAGCACACCGAAAGTCAACAAGGCCGTTTCGAAAGAGGCAAGTCCTGAGCTCACACCCATTACAACGTCGCCGGTGCCACCAGAGGAATCGCCCGCTGTGGCACAGGCTCCGCAATCACCAGTACCTGTTAAAGCCCCAACTCCTCCAGCTTCAGTCTCAGTCTCAGCACCAACAGCAGCTTCGACCAGGCCCAAACGCGAATCCGTTGCTCCAAAAGCTCCCACCCCGCCCGTGGCCACTCTCCCGCCCACGAAGTCCTCAAAGACACCTACACCCGTGCCCGAGCCCCGCCCAGAGACACCTGCAGCACCGACCCTACGTCCTCGCTCCGCACGCGGCCATGTCCCCACACCCAAGGCGCAAAGCGAAGAGCCCAAGCCCAACGAAGAAGGTAGGATAACTCGCGAAACCCGTCGTCATAGTGTCTTTAGCCAACCCGCAACCACGCTCACAGTACCTGCACCCCCACCCCCACCTACCCGCACTAGTAGCCGCCGGAAGCCTCCTCCAAAGGGTGAAGTCACGAATGCAGAAGACGGCCAAAAGACAGTGACAAACGTCAAACGCGCCCAAGGCAGCAAGAACAAGAGGAAGAAAAAGGCAGAAGAAGAGGTGGAGCAGGCCGACGACATCGATCCCAATGAGCCCCGATATTGTATCTGCGACGACGTTAGTTACGGGCAGATGATATCGTGTGATAATAACGTAAGCCCTCCCCCTTTATCCCACAATTATCCCACAAAACTCCTCCCCCCTTTTCAGCATGGAAACTAACAACATCCCCCCCTAGTGCGATAAAGAGTGGTTCCACCTCCCCTGCATGGACATGACCGAAGACGACATCCCCTCCCGCCGCGCCAAATGGTACTGTCCAGACTGTCGCGTTACTCTGGGCACAGATGCGTATGGAAACCCGTTGGTGCCGCCTCCGCTGCCGGGTCGCCGCGGTAATCGGTAGGTTCTTCACCCATTTCTGTCCAAGGCCCCGACGTTAAGATGTTAATGTTTGTTTGAGGGGATGGAGTACTTAGTATGGTTAATAGGTCGTCGGCTTGAAAGGAAGGATAGGATGGGATATCGGTATCCAGAGGAGGGTCTGGGGGTTGGTGGGTGGTGGCGTTGGGGATGGGGATGGAGTATGGTATGGGATTGGTATGGTATGGGATGGGACGGTATGGTATTCTTCACCCCAGGGAGGGCGAAGGTGTATCAAACATAGGGTTATGGGTGTTCGCTGGTATTCCTTTGTTTTACTGGCATGGTGTCTGGAGTTGACAGCCGTATTTTTGTCTACGGACAGCTGTCTCTTGGGTATGAATATACCCAGCTAGTTTGTCGTATCACCATGGCACTTTGGAATTGAAAGGGCTTTGTGTGCCCGTTGTTTCTTGTTGATGGGGAGTGCGTGTGAAAGCGGGGGGTTGAGAGGTTATTGTGCGCTGTGTTTGCCCTGCACCTGGGCAGCTTCCTTAAATGGTGCTGTGAGGTTTACTGTGTGCTGCGCACGGATGGTGGCGATGACGCGTGTGTTGATAGGGAAGGAACCCTCGACCCATCACGAACACACCTGGGCACAACCTCCACAATGGATAGCGTTTGACTCAGAATGCGATCTGATCCTGGTTCGAATAACCTCCCGCTTCTGATGTACAGAGTGATGCTGCAAGTGCGTGCGGCGACCAGATATCCGTTCCTCAAGTAATCACACAACACGACCAGCATCTTCGACTTCCTGCTCAGCCGACATTCTCGTGGTTTGCATCCTTGGCGAGACGCCGGTGTTCACCAAACTTCCTTCCAAAAGTCGAACCCATTCACTTCAAGTCACTGTTTTTTACCTTCACAATGGACTGCTACAATGCATTCAACTGCAGTTCTCGCCGCCTGCAAAAGTATGGCCAAATGCTCGCCTGCCTCCTTCCGCCTTGCACCTTCCACCTTCCACCTTGCTCCTAACCTGACCACCGCGAAATCTCTAACGCTCAACTGTACCTTACTCTTCGACACTCAACCATCGCACCACAGTCACTCGATTGACGATGGCTGGCCAATCCAAGATCATGGCATCGGAAAGCCCACTGCTGCAACTCCCAGAGGACATCTTCCACGACATAATTGTCAATTATGTACACACTGTTCGTGTCAGTGAAGCTTCAGCTACTCGTGCAGTTTGTAGTAAGATCTACATCGGTATCATGGTATCAATCCGTATGCGCTAACATTTTGTAGAGGTATTCGACCACAAGATTCGCTATCAGATCGCCAATCACTTGCGTTATGTCTACTTCGACTATGAATACGAATCTTTTCAGGAAGATTCCAGAGATTGCGAAGCTGATAAGAGAGTTCTACATCACATGCTCCCCGAAATCCTACAGAGCACTGTTCGAAAAGCTTTTAACGATCCGCTTGTCACCTCTATTGAGACACGCGCTGAAGCGGTCCTCAAGATCGAAGGCCATCCCTACGATGAGAAGACCAAAACTCAATACGTCGAGTACATCTTCCAGTATCTGACCCGAGGAGGCAAGCTAGCAGCTATCAATCGGGCACTTCGCTCGCCCAGCGACTATCCGCTTTCTAGTTCCACAGAACGTGCCGACTTAACTTGCGCTGCCGCTGTGGGGAGCTTGTGTGCAGTCAAGCAACTTCTCAAGGACAACGAATCAGACTGGCCGTCGTGGCCATACTTCCGACAGCATGCAACCAATGACAACGTCTACGCAGATCCTCTTCGAGCAGCAGCGTCTAATGGACACATCGAAGTCGTACAGCATCTACTCAAAGCGCTTAAAGACTTCGGAGGTGCAGAAAAGTGGACCGACACTTTCAAGCACCGATTCCAGTGCATCCTCAACGCGGCTATTCAGTCCAAACACCGCCAAACAATTCTTACGTTGGCAGTAGTCGCTAGGAAGAATGGAATCTGGGACTCCAGCTTGACTCACGTCAATCTAGCCTGTGCTGAAGTATGGATCGGGACTGCTGTCAAGACCGGCTGTATGGAGACTTTTCAAACAGCTATGGCGGTAGTCGGGAGTACTGCCCCCATATCCGCGAAGAACATTGTGGCATATGCGATGCTCTTCGCCTGCGAGTACGGCCAAGTAGATATCCTTCGACACCTCATTGCCCATAACCCCAACTGCTTCCAGCGGGAGGGTCCCGTAGCAGGTTCTGACATAGCCCGTCGGTACAAGACTAAAGTCGAACAGACCTTGGGTATATCCTGCATGCAAACAGCCGCCCAGTACCTCCAACGTCACATCATCGATGTACTCCTCGAACACGGCGTTTCCATCAACGCAGGTTCCCCAATCATACGCGCCATCGAGTTCGAAAACATCTCCATCGTCAAGTACATGCTCGACCACGGCGCGGAGTACAATCGGCATGTACACCGCGAGTGCCTCAGGCAGCTGGGTCCTAGTGCCAATAGAGCATTGAGCGAGTTCAAGGAGACGGATATGTTGCCTGTCATTTTCTATCTCGTGGCTAAGCATATGGGCAAGCCGCGCTACTCGTTTCGTAAGAGCGGGTTGGAACAACGCCTTATGAGCTTTGTTGAGGATATGGAGGGTAGTGAGTTTTGGAGCGGGAAGGTTGAGGCGATACTGGGGAAGGAGATATTCAATGAGCTGAGATGCGTGGAGTATCAAAGGTTCGTCGTGAATAAGTCGTGGGAGTGCTTTCGGCGGAGAATATAGATGGTGTTGGCGACATCCTGTTTAGCGTTCATGAGCACCTCGTCACATACGTGATGCAGCAGTATACACATGTGGCGTTAGTACTGTGATAGGCCGATGAGATAACTTGGTGGCGACGTCGAAGATAGCAAGCTCTAGACTGTGAAGCTGAAAGCAGCGTACGGCCTTCGATCAGCCCAGACCCCAACTCCTTTCCAAAGATCTCCTGAGCTTGCGAATCGAAAAGAGACGCATTTTCCAAGAGATGAATAAGGTGCAGCTGAAGTCGAGAATGTCACAACCCCACATTCCGATTCGTCCTTAGCGCCTGCCTAGCGCGACCTTCATTGGTGCATCTGGCGTCGTCATTCTCCGCGGGATCCTGCTACTAACATCAACTGTCTAAGTTCTGGTTGGGTCTACGAATACCTCACCTGGGCACTCATCAATATTGCTCAGCCACAACGCCCTGATGCTCAACCTGTATCTGCCGCAACGCCGTTGTGCCGACGCATCATGACCTGCGACGATTGGCGGTCGGGCCTCCCGTGCCTGGAGACCGGATGATGACCGGTAGGCGGAATTCGTCAGCTACACCCTGTTCCCACGTTTGCGCATTCGCGCAGTGGGTCTGACTGCTTGTGACAACCGTCAGGCATCCTTCAAGACCGCCATGATGCCTTCAACAACGTTGCCCTACCCTTCTGCTCACACCCTGCCTTACTCTGTCAACTGCGAACACGAGCATTCCCTTCTGACGCCTCTAACAACTTTGCGCAATGTTCGCCATGGCATCATGTAGCCATGCGCAAGCCGGCCTACCAAGATTGAGCACAACCAAGCGGATATGTAGAAGGGATTCGCTGTCTTCATCCAGGACCCGTGATTCGGGCTACAATAGCGACCCTGATTCTCTCTCACCCTTGGATGCGGGAACGTTGGATCAGGGTATTGCCTACTACAAATTCTAGCGGGAGCTCAGATCGCTAACGGCGCAGCAGACATATTTTTCGGACTTCCTCCCTGTGTGCCGAGCATTCTTGTCAACAACAAGGCTACCTTTCTCAAGAGATGCACCGTCGATAGGCCATGGTTGGTTGGTCAGAACAACATCACCAGCAACCCTGCAGAAGTCGTCACCAACCAGACATTCCTCGACACCACGCCTCCAGAAGGTCCAAAAATAGGATCTGTCGAGACTCTTATTGATTGTGCACGTAAGGAAAGCCCTAAAGACAGGCCAGCATCAGAAGACGAAGATATAGAGAGGTGGATCGACGACAATCTTCCATCCGCCAAGCGTCCCAGAGAAAGAGTAACATCCATCGTCTCCATCTCATCCACCAGCTCTTGCGACATGCATACCAACACGGACGTTAGCGAAGACGAAATGGAGCATGACGTTCGGCCGATACAACCATCTCCAGCACCCATGCAGAAGATCCTCGAGCTCATCCTGCGCAAGGTCGAAATCAATCTCCGCAATGCAGCTTACAAGCAATGTACTGGACGCAGCACCGCTCACAGTCAAGCTAGATCCACGCTGCCCTCGGGTCAGAGTAGCCGCAAGACGTCTGTGAGTTCAGGATCAAAGCGAAAGTCCCGTTTGGAGGGCAGCCCACCGCCGGAAGATGATGACGAAGATGGCTCAAGCAAGCGACGTCGTGGATCAACGACTACTACCGATGAGTCCGAGACCGGTGCGAGGTTCGCATGTCCTTTCTACAAACACGACCCGGATCGGCATCGCAACAGGAGAACCTGTCCCGGACCTGGCTGGCCCACGGTTCATCGAATGAAAGAGCATCTCTATCGATCACATTCCCAACCGATATTCTGTCCAATCTGCTACGCGACCTTCAAGTCAGACAAGGAGCAATCAAGTCACGTGCGTCTGCAGCAATGCGAGAGATCATCACCTCAGCAGATCGAAGGGATCGATCGCGAGACTGTCTGGACGCTGAGGAAGCGCACCACTGCGCTGAGACTAGAAGAAGACAAATGGAGAGATGTATACCAGGTTCTCTTCCCAGACGTATCTGCCGCCGAGATACCCAGTCCCTGTAAGCCATCGCGCCACGCTGGGTCTTTAACCTGCTAATAAATATCAGTCTACGATTGCGACTCGCCAAGCGAAACATCGCGACGCTTCCGCAGAGATCTTCTACGCCGCGTACAAGAAGAGCTACTCATGGAATCCGGACAAGTCCCCACTCCAGCCGAGCAACAGCTCCTCCAACGCGTGGCCCAAATAGTGCGCCGTTGCGAGCACGATCTACTGAATCAAGCGCAGCCACCATCTTCCCCACCCTCCAACCCAGACCGACGTGCAAGTGCCAGCTCTATAAATAGCTCGTACCAAGCCACGCCCCTTCCCGCAGCCACTCCGGCCTTCCAGAGGCCATCCCTAGCTGTACCAACCAACGTGACTGGAAGGGAACACAGATATGATTCTCTTGTTGAGGCAGATGCAGCGCCGTATATACCCGAGCCTACAATGGAGTTTGGTGATGTGGTTTGGAATGATCCGCCGTATGTTTTTGGCACGGGGATTAATTGGGAGGCTGTCTTTCCGCCTGCGCCTGAGACACAGTACTTAGGGAGTGATGAGGCGGCTACGAATTTTGCGGTGCCGATGTGGACGTAGGCGGTGTTTGTGGTATGGGGGCAGAGATGGTATCTTTTGAAGGATGGATGCTTTAGCGCATTTGGTGAATTCAGATATGTTGTAGATACGGTCGCGAAATATACAATCGGCTCTCCATAATGGTGTTGCTCGATGGTTCAGTGATTGGCCTAACGGCAACTAGGGTGCAAGGCTACGGCAGCTAGCGTCTGAGGCCATCAAATGATGGACGACGGGGACACCTCCCGAGGTCTCGAAGGCTGTCGCATCCTCATTAGGCGACTAGCCACATTATTGTGGCGTAAACATCCAGTATGTATTCGTCAGGCTGCAGTGGGCGCTACACATCACTGGGAGTGTGTTCGGTGCGGCTGAACGCTTGTCAAGAGGGGAAGGCTGAAAACTTAAAGCCATTTCTTTCTCGTCTCCAGGGCTGCGTCTTTACTCTTCTTCTTTGGGCAGGTCGCGTTTCTTTACTTAGATCGCGTTGCTATATACCTAGGTGCTATGTCGAGCCACAGTACTAGTCAAAGGCGCACTCAATTCTTTCTTCGGAAGGGTGATTACGCACCACAAGAGATCCCTAGTGGGTATGTTGTCAAGTCAGGTCTGGATGAACCACAACTAACTGATTTAACAGAAAGCGTAGATACGTCTATGTACGCGACCGCGGAGGCCCTGGAGGATGGATCGCTGTTGAAGACTTCGCATCTAGCCTCAGCACTAGGTCGGAGCGTGCATCGGAATCGCCATCGAATGAAGCTGTTGAACGACGTTTTCGCTGGGTCCACGTACCAGCTAACGATCTCGCTCTTGTGAAAGTAATTTTTCTTCCATAACCTCTTCTCCTATTGTGGCTTTTGTAACATGACGAGGCTTAACGTACGGCTAGGACTGCATCGAGAAGTTGGCTGGTCGCGATCAGACCAAGGGCTTTCCTGCGACCTGGGAGCACAAAGTCCGACCGACCGCATCGTTTCCCACACAATTGGTCACGGAACATGCCTGGTATCTGGAGCCGTCCTTCCAAGCTCACGCACAACTTGAAACAGCAGATGATCAAGAGTTAGCGTCTACGATTGACGCAGAAGCCAAGCCCAGGCACAACCCGTTCACGCTGTTTGTGAGTTTCAGAATGCTTGTTTCCCATTTTCCATCGGCTTATAGACGATTTTCAGTTCCCATACCTCAACTGGGAGGAATACAGACGCGTCAAATTGGTGCCAGGGCCCCAGCCCGAAGGTTCGTCGCGGCTGAGACATACTCGAAGGACCTTAGACCAATTTTATTACCCCGGACTTCGAGACACAATAGCAAGAAACAAAGGGCAGACCGCCTCCAAGTGGACCGGGGAATTCCCACCTGTACCACATGATGGCCGGAAAGAAGCAGTAGATGACAGTCGTGTCGTGATGGTGGACCAAATCTGGCTCTGGGCGCTGAATGATGGTATGTCGATGTCCCATATTAAGCTTCCGTTGTAAACTAGAAGACTCAGGGCGCTTCTGCTGACATTATCACCTTCCAAGACACCCTTATTTCGTGCTTTCCGTCTCAAAAGTCGAGCGAGAGCTCCGACACGACGGCTGAACATGATTCCATCAACGATCTTCTCACCTCCATCGACTGTAAATTTTCCGAGTGCGAGGACATCATTGATCTCACCGCTTTGATCATCATGAATTCCGTCGGCATCGCTTTTGTACAGGATAGCGTGAAATTTCAAGATTTGACTGGCCTTTATAGATGGGCAATCACCACCAAAGTATGTGTCATTGAACCAAAGTTTGCCTCATCGCCATGACTGATCTTCTTGTTGTAGGCTGCAGAACATTCTCGACTGCTGGAAGCCTTCGGAAACTTGAGCCGCTCCGGAAACTTCATAGCTGGAGGCACCAGTGAGATGTCTCTTACACTGGATATCGTGGATATTCTTGATGAGTTGAATATGCTGCTTCTTGTCCTGGAGCAGCAAATCAACGTGCTACTTACCGTGAAAGACCAGTTTCAGAACATGAAATCAGGGACCGATCTAACCAAACGGCTCAATAAAGTCCAGATCAACGTTAATGCAACTTCACTGGGAAATTTGTTCGTGGATCAGCCACGGAACGGCGACTCAGAAACCGAAATAAGAGTCGACGCTACCAGTGTAGGCAACGTACACTTTAAGACATCGGATACTGAAGGTACCATGGTTGCAAAGAGCATACGTGGGTACGCAGGAAGAAGCATGCGGGAAGCCGATAAACTGTTGAGGAGTGAGACTGCGAATCTTACGAGACTTCGCAGCGACGCGAAACAGGTACATCGCATGGTCCGTAATTATCTACCTTGGTATCCTGCACAACCCACTGAAAGCATCCCAGGTCATCGAATTACTCGATCTCGAGCAGAAAGCCGCCAGCCTCCAGGAAGCGCGCGCCGCCACACAACAAGCACGTGCGGCTGAAAAGCATGCAAAAGCAGCTAACAAACAAGGCCAAATGGTCGTGGTGTTTACTGTCGTAACCGTCATCTTTGTGGGTTAAAATCTCATTGCTTGCTTACCAAAACGGTTTGTTAACACCAGCCTGCAGCTCCCGCTATCGTTCTTCAGCTCCTACTTTGGCCAGAACGTGTCCGAGTTCACGGGAAGCAACCAGAACCCATCGTCCGGCAAGCTTTGGAGGATCGCTGGTAAGTCTCTGGTTTTGCCCCGGATTCTCGGCGGCGCGAGTGCTGATTAATCGATTGCACAGGCCCGGTGTCCGCTAGTGTGGTGATTTTGTCCATACTTGCGGCGTACTTCTTCATACGCAGGAAGAATAAGACGACGGACCCAGAGCTGGGGCAGATAGAAGAGAAGGAGGCGTAGAGAGCTTGGTGGAAGTGCTTCAGTGATTTGGTGCGGCAGCGCAAGGCTGAAGTCCTACAAGCCTTGGAGATCTCCGATGTCCTTTAAAAATGAATTACCTAGATACCTAGCTAGGTATAGGGCATCAGCGGACCCCCACCTGATGCGTGGCGTTAAAGTCTCGTATGACATGTCCAATCGCGCAGGAAGTTCTAGTTACATATTTCCAATTAGCGATATGGTGCTAATGGAATGCTAGAAGCATGCCAAGTGATTGTTGTTGCGACGTCATGAACCAGAAAATCATAGCGCGGCCCGAGTCAGGCGTCGCGTCTTTCGTCTCGCACATGGTCTATACAAACTCTCATCGCGCCACCATGGCACCCAGAATGCGCATACCCACTGTCGAATTCCGATCGCTCCTTCTACCGCCCGTACGAATTCCGATACGCGCCCTCCATACACTGTACCGCCCGCAATGCGCCCCTCACATACCGCGCCCCGCCTGTCCCACGCAGCGCCTCGAGCAGCGCCGCGCGCTCAACCTCTACAAAACGGCCAAGGCCAAGACAGTCCTCGGACAGCACAAAGTTCTCAACTTTAGCTCATGGGAGATTGAAATTCTGGCGCCACTGCAAAGTGTAAAGCACCGAGTCAAACTATGGCAGACAGACAAGAAGGCTAAGAAGCTGTCCGTAATAGCGGAGAGCGCCTCCTTCGAAGAACTCCTCACACAACACGTCGGACCTGGGAAAATGCTCTACTGCCTCAGCGAGGTCAAGAAAGGAATGGCAAAGAGTCACATCGACGACCCAGAGCGGCCAATACCCGAAGAGTTGAAGGACTTCGCCATCCACAACGCCTACACCTACCGAGCCCCAAAGACAGCGGGGCAAAAAGGCAAACAAATAGGCGGCCTGAAAAACATCATCCTCAACGAGTCCAGCCCCGTCGAATACTTCAGAATGTGCATGGACCGCGCCTACCAATTCATCGAAGCCGGACACGCCGTCGAATTCCGGCTGCGCCTACAGGGAAAGATGCTCTTGAAAGAAGAGCGCATCAAGCCCGCAGGACCAGAGCGCTGGCTATGGATGCACACGCACTTCCCGCACCTGCGCCCCGAAATCATCATGAAGAGCATGCCCGAAGACACGCGCTACCTCATCAACCCCGTGTCCGACGGCCGCCTCGTCCAATGGGTCGCCGTCGCAGGCCACAAAGCAGAACCAGCCATCAACCTCGACAAACGCCTCTTCCGCATCAAGGACTCTGTGACCTCGTCCATTCAATCGGGGAACCAGGCTATGTTGCCTAGGATTATGAGGCAGCAGCTGCGGAATCAGGGGTCGGAGGATTATAGTATCAATACGGGGTTGCCGCGGGAGCAGGCGAGGGCGAAGCATGGGAAGGGGGGCAAGAGGGTACTGAGTGGTGAGGAGAAGAAGTGGCTTAAGAGGGATGAGGAGACGGATGGGTTTTTGGTGCCGGATCCGGATGCGGGGTTGCCTATTAGGAGGCTGGATGATCGGAGGGATAAGAGGGGTGAGGGGCAGAGGTGGGAGCAGAGGGGGTATATTGGGAATAAGAGAAGTTCTCAATAGGGGGCTAGGTGATTTGGGGAGGTGGGGAAGGAAGCAATATAGGTGTTTCGATCGCTCTAGGGGAGGGGAGGTTAGAGACTTGCAAGCTCCCCACAACGCCGCTCTATGAAAGAAAAAATCACTGAGACAGTATTACTCTTTCCATTGTAACGAACTTTTATTGGGAATTATTGTGTATAGAATGAGGTGATCTGTTAATATGGGAACGTAATGGCGATTTAAGATCATGCTCGTACACAACAGAAGTCTTAGATCTTCTAAGATGCTCTCCTTCACAATGTACATAGAGGAGATAATTCGAGTAATGATCGAATGATCACAATGGTCATCATGGTATTTCCGCAGGATAATCAAGTAATAGAATGTCGCAAGTTGTTCTTCCAGTATATAATTCCAACAGCTAATCGTTTCACAAGATCCCCGTGTATGACAAAGTTTTGGTGTTGGTGTTGTGTTGGTGACGGCTTGGCAGGCAACATTGGGCAGTGACCACATCTCTGGGCCGGACATGGATACGGCCGATCATGTTTATCCACCCAAGCCACTCCTTATTCCGCGACCGTCCGTTGCACATGCATGCGTGCTAGTGAACGACCTGCCGCGCGAATAATGCCGCGACCCTGATTTCTCCCGCCCACTCCATCAATCCCCCAACTATCCTAAGTCATCGCCTTCCCCCGCCGCCCGTCATCGCCGCCGCTGCCACCGACGCCGAGGCCGCGTTCCGTATCCCAGTCAATCGCTGCCGCTTACCTCGATCGAACCCGCAACGTCACCACCCTGAGCCTCGATGAACGCAGCGCGGCAGGCGTGTCGCCCCAAGCACCAGGTCCTGGTCCTAAAATGCTACCCAAAGGTGCAGAAGAGCGATGCCGAGGCCAAGGCCAATTCGAGCGAGTTGAGCTACCTGCTCTTCTACGCCAGCACGCGCCGCAGTAAGCTGCAAAAGGTCGTCGACTTTCTGGACAAGCGGGCGACCAAGGATGTGTGGAAGGTCCGGACGGGCAATGTGCAGGTCACGATGCAGATCATCAAGGCGCTGATTGAGAAGTGCCCGCGCGACCTCCCCCTCTATGCCACCGCTGTCCTGCATATCCTGCGCACAATCCTCAACTCCAACGACGTTACTATGGTCGAGGAGTCAGTGCCGACCTTCGAAGCCCTGTGCGCGCATCAGGACCCCGCCGCCCTCGCAGCCGACCAGGACTACATCAAGAAGTACGAGGAGATTGTACAACTATACGCCCAATTCGCGTCCAAGGAGACGGTCAAGACGGGCAAGGCACCAGTCAGCTGGCCGGTCGCGATCAGATACCGGAAGGCTGGGCTGCAGGCGCTCAAGGCCATTGCCTCGTCTGAGTCACTGGGGTCTGAGACTGGGCGTCAACTGGGTGCTGTCATACCAGTCATCCTCCTCAACATACACTCGGAGAGCGGCGCGTATCTCAAGCGGTTGGAGACGCGGGAAGCCACCAAGGGCGAACATGAGAAGGAGCTGGCATTGCGACGGCGGCAGAGTGTGTCCACCGCGCGGACCGACGACGACGACGGCGACCCGATCGCGGCATCTGGTACAACGGAGGATGCGGATAAGCTTGCGGAAGAAGAGGTGGGAGTACTGGCGCTTCAGGCTCTGAGGAGCATATTCCAGGGTGTGAATCGAGGACAGCTCCGGCTTGCGACGTCCGCTGTGCTCAAGTTCATCGGATCACATGTCAAGAGCCTGCAAGAAGCTGCACCGAACGAAAGCAGCCATTGGGCCACTACACTCATGGCCATGATCTGCGCATGGGTCCCCGTACAAGACAGATACACTATCCTGGTAGGCGCAGTGGAAGCCCTGGTCCGCAGTCCAATCGTAGAAGACGACCTCGAACGGCAGCTGACACTGGCGACAATCATCGACTACCTTCTCGCCTCGACGATCAACTTCATCGGACTGAGTGTCATGGATGTCCTGGTTGGGCTCATTTCTCACTCATTGCTACTCCTCCAGCTTGGCGGGCCGGGATCAAACATCGTACCGCATCATCAGCAGACAACATCTGTCGTATCGGAGAAGGAGGGTAGCAATGAATCGTCGACGGCCAATCTGGATAGTGTCGTTATGGAAGTCGTCAAGAAGCCTTCTGATGCGAGAATGCAGCTTCTGGATACAGTGCAGAGATGCATGGCGGATCTCGCGACGCATGTATACTATACCGATCAGATCTCTGATATGGTGGAAGCGATACTGAGCCGACTCAAGCCATCGCGGCTTTCGAGCGTTTCCTCCACCACTGAAGCGATACAGAACCCCGAAGGTGCGATAGATGCTGTAGCTGATTCCATCAGTATGCAGGAAAAGACGCACGTGGATCGGTTCTTTTCCTTCGAAACAGCACGCATCACTGCTCTCGATGCTGTCAAGGCCATCATCAAGACGGCCAACACACGGAGGCCGGATGGCTCATCGGCATCTGTGTCGCGGAGCAAAGTAGGTGTGAGTGTTTGGGAAGGCACACAGTGGCTTCTGCGTGACCCAAGCGGCCAAGTCAGGAAAGCATACGTCGATGCGCTGATCACCTGGCTGAACACGGAGAAGGACAAGGAAGATTTGAAGATTGTGGACAACTACAGGCGGAAGGAAAAGGAGAATGAAAAGAACGCGCTGGCTAGACGTGCAGTCTCGAATGCTTCGAACAGGGAGAGGGTGTCGAAACGTGGTAGGGACACGTTTTTGCCATTGCTCCATCTGGCGGTATACGAGAATGCGCTCCACTATGTCGACTCTGAGGCGGACTACCTACTCCTCCATCTACTGCTCACTACTCTGGTGAACAGGCTCGGAGTGAACGCAGCGAGGAGCGGATTGCCAATGATCATGCGGCTGCAAGAGGACATTGTCACCATCGAAGATCCCGGTGCTAAGCTGCGCCTGGGAAGCTTGGTACACGGCTACCTCTGGGCACTCAGCATGACCTTGGACTTTGAGGTTTCTTCTGTCGGTCGCGCCCTCCACAACGAGATCACGCGCAGAAGCAGCAAGGGTCTTTGGATGAAGAGCATACGCGTCCCGCCAATGCCGATTGAGCTGATAGAAACGCCTCACCCCACACCCGTGGCTATTCCGTCAGAGATTGTGGAGAACGAAGCGCTCAAGCCCTTTGACAACCGCGAGGCATTGGTCGAGAAGATATCGGAAGGTTATTCGACTTCCCTATACTCGCCGCCTTCGTCGCCTCCTGGCTCACCTGGCCGTACGGCGTCTGCGTCTATTCCTACCATTCATCAACCGACACAGCCCGTGAGCCAGCAGAGTGCACCGGAACTTTCGTTCAAGGTCCGAGAAGATCTCTTGGCGAACTGGAGTCGCGAAGACTGCTTGTCTTCTCACACGAAGGATTCGTCATCTGCTTCAATTTCCGGTTCCAAGACAGGCACACACTACACTGCCGCCACGCAGAAGAACAACTTCCTCGGTGTCAACATCCCCAACGGCAACCTCGATAGCAACGGTAGCTCGCCAGCCCAAAGCCCGCGACGCGCACACAGCAGACCCCCATCTGCAGCATACGGTCTGGTAGGCCGTCTCTCCTCGCCAAACCGCAGCCGCAGTCCAGGTGACACACCCAACAGCTCCTCCTCCCTCCGCTCCACAGTCCGCGTCGACGACCTCCGCCGCGCACTTTCCACATCCGGTGGCGGCGCCCCTCGAACAGGCTACTCGCACCGCGCCCCCTCACACCGACACCGCAAATCTTCTTCTGACCACGCGTCTTCAGCGAGTGACTCGCTCGTTAGTGTGCATTCCCTGTCGGATGCTTCTTTCATAACAACACACCCACCCACCACCGAGTCCCAACAACAGCTTCAAAATCCTGAGAGTCCGACTACACCCGCTGCGACGCTTACGCCTCGCCCGGAAGGAACGACGGGCATGAACTTTAACACGAATAACAATAATAACAACGGAGGTGCAGCGAACCCAAGAGAAAGTTCTTACACAATGACCAACCTCCCCCCCGTCCCTCCCATCCCAGAAGAACTCCGCACTTCTTCACCAAACGGCCACGGCCACAGTCAAAACAGTCAAAGCGATACCCGCGATTTCGCGACGAGACCCAAGACAGCGCCTAATGGAAGTAAAGCTGGGCGTAGTAGGAGTGTGAAGAGTGGGGTTAGTAGGGGCAGGAGTGGTGAGAGAACGGCGAGAAGGGGTACTGGGGGTGCGGGAAGTAAACCGGACTTTACGGGCTTTTTGGATAGTATTGGGGTTGAAGATGGGGATGAGGGGGATGATGGGAGTGTGAGTGTGGTTGAGAGTGTGGGGACGGGGGGTGGGGTTGGGAGGGCGCCTTATTAGTTTTGAGACGTTGGGTTGAAGGGGAGTTGGTAGAGGTGGTGATGGGCGAGGGAGAGGTGAGGTGGTATGGTTGGGTGTATTCTTTTCTTCTTATTTTCAAAGTTCAGTTGATGCTGTGTATACTTTGTCTCTTTTGTCTCGACTCGACTCTTGTTTCCTGTGTATTAGAGATGGGAAGAAGGATAGGAAGAAAACGGAAGAAGAGGGAGATGGAGAAGACGAGAGGCTAGAGATCCGGCTTCGGCCTACGATAATACCACTTGTGTTTACTTTGTTCAAATACGTCCAATTCAGTGTGCGGGTCATATGCTGCGCTTATCCAGAGCGTACTCAAGGAAGCACACAACCCCCGTAGAAAAGCAACACAAACAACCATCTAGTCCTTCATACACTTCAAACTCTTAAACCACTTCGGATCCCCCGTATCCGACAACCCAGGACACTCAAGCGGCCTATCCTCACTCCTCTCCCAAATCTCCACCGCATCCCTATTCTCCCCACACCCAAACTCCTTGTAGAACCTGCAGTTGCCGCCTAATCAACAAAATCCCAAAAATCAGCGATATCCATACCTAGGTACCTCAAAATACACAAGTTTGAATAACAGCAACCTAATTTTGGAACTTACCCATATCGGGTCCAATGGAGCGGGGCCGGCTCCCGGGTTTGTCAAAGTTCTCGCACCACGGTTGCGACTCGTAGGCGCGTGTGTGGCATTGTTTGGCGAAGTTCTGGAATAGGCACCATGTTACGCCGGGGTTCTGGGGTACGGCGGAGCAGTACGAGGGGGCTTGGGAGGGGTCGAGGTGAGAGCTTAGGCCGTAGTGCTTGAAGGTTGTGAAGGGCATGGCGGAGGTAAGGGCGAGGCTGATGAGGAGAGTGGGGAGTGTGAAGGAGTGCATTGGGGGCGTAGTATGTTGGATATTTGAGGTGTTGAGCTAGGATGCTTTCAGGGTTGGAGCTCTTGGTTGTTGGTCTAGGATCTTTATTTGCTTTGTGTTCTGACGTGGCAATTGCTGTAGTGATATAGACAAGTCAAGAGAGACCTAGGCTGTGTTTATGTACGCTAAATAACCATGCATCGTTTGCCAATGTCAAATTTGAAATTCCACATTGAGAAATCTTGATATATCTTGGTGTATCGAAGAAAAGCTATGTCTTGGAATGCATCGACTCTTGATTGCGCGAACACATGAAGACGGAGATTCCGAGATCAGGCCGGCCGCTGATGCCATCGTTCATCACACACAATACAGGTTATTTAGGCTGATATCGGTTTGGTATCAGGTTGAAGCTAGTGCATCATAGCTTAGCTATCTGCGGTCTTTACATCTTTGAAATGTTTAGTGCTATTTATTCGGGACTGGGTTCGTTACTTTGATACAACATGTAGATCAAGAGAGATGTCGATTCAGTGTTTCATTCCATACGAACGTAATACAAGTACATGAGTTAAACGTCAACTCAGCACAATCTGGCGTACACACACCGCGTTCCAAAATGCTCATCTACCTCCTCCTTCCACGAATAGCCCCGAATCCCCACCTAAACCGACCTGCGGGAATCCCTCCCCGGATAAGGATAACCCCCACTACCCTGGTATTCCCCTCCACTAGATCCATCCGAGTTCTCCGTCCCCTCGTTCTCCGTCCCCTCATTCTCCGTCCTACATCTCATACTCCCAAACCAATCCGGCTTCCCAGCATCACTCATACCCGGGCACTCCAACTTCGTCGTCGTATCGTCCTTCCAGATGCTGACCGGATCACCCCCACATTTGTTGTCCTTGAACAACTCGCAGTACCCACCGTGCTGAGGGCGGATGGAAAGGGGGCGCCTTTCTGGTTTTTCGTCGAAAGCCATACACAAGTCTCGGTCGGGGTAGTAGGCGTGCCATTCGCAGGGCCCGTTGAAGTTTGTGCTCAGGCAGTAGGTTACGCCGGCTGTGGTGCCTTCGGCTCCGGGTGCACAGTCTGGTTGGTCTTGGTTGGATGGGTCTGGGTTGGGGCTGGCGGCGAAGGGGAGGGCCGTTGCGAAGGTGATGATGAGGGGGAAGAGGGTGAGTGGGTGCATTGTGGTGTGTGAGGAGCGTGACTTCGTGTTGGTTGTTGCTAATTCTATGGATGCCGTGCTGTGTTGATGTGTGAGTTCTTGTGCGATTGATGTTACGTGTAACGATGAAGGAAGGGAGAAGTATGCTGTCAGGCCTATTTATGTCTGCTTTTTGCATCGTACAGTGCTGTTCAGCACTGCATTCAATGTTAGGAATCTCGACTTTGCTCGGCGCTTTGATAGGGCGTTGTGAAGCTTGGGTGTGATGGAGTGGGCTGGAAGGGACGCATCGTGCTGTTCATGTCGTGGTTATTATTGAAAAGAAGGACGCCAATGTAACCTGATCATCACATCTTCGCCGCCCGGGGAGGATATATTGGGGTTCTGCGTCCGCGTCAGTCTCTTTCCACCTCTTCTACACCATTGTGCCAGCAACGAACAAGAGCCGCCGCTACCTCAAGAATAGGCATCCTTCTTGCTGTCTAAACCCGAATCCAACTGGTCGATATGCTGAACATCTGCCCTGCATACCTGACCAGCATCTTCTTCGCCATCACCGCTACATCCCCCGTCAACACGCCCACAAGAGATACCATCGTCGTCCAAGTAATCCCAGCCACTGGCGGAGGGTTCAGCGGCAGTAACGCCGACCTACGCACCTTCACCGACCCAAACTCCCCTGTCTGCGATGTCAAAGTAGGCCGACCCGGCGGCGTCTACATCTGCCCCGGCCCAAACTTCACGCCTTCCGCAACTCAGACATGCAAGTGGTGGCCACCTCCTGCTGCTGCTGACGAAACAGTCTGCATTTCTTACCAAAAAGAAATCGGTCTTGCTTTGAGTCGTCCTCAGTCCATTGGACCTGACCCGGGTGGCTACTGCCTTCTATACCAGGAGCCGGATTGCAAGAATGGGGCGCAAGCTCATATCATAGCTAATGGACAAGCGTACAAGTAAGTTGGTCAAGATAACGAGAGCATCGGGAGATTTGCTAACTCTAGTAGTACTATTGGGTGTCCTGGGTTGAACGGTGACTTTGGGATTGTGAGTTTGCAATGTTGGCCGAGTACGCGGCGGTGGAAGTGACCTCGGGATGGCGGAATGGCGGAGGAAAGGACAGATGTTGTGATTTCGACTGTGGCATATTGCGTTTATATATTTGTGGTAGGAGTCAGTTGTAGGCGCGAATAGAAATTTCGAGCTTTGAGTTGAGATCAGCGGGCGTTTCGTGACGGTTTTGAAGTGCGCACGAAATGAGTTGTTTGATGACGTAATCCACACGCACTAAGCGGAGGGAGGTTTTTGATCCTCTATCATCAACCATGCACCTAAAGTCTTAGTCTGACAATCACATGACGCCGTTCCGATACTGCGTTTGTAGCTGCCAGCCTCGCGTCCACTGGCTAGGTACCATACCTGCCGTCACCACTTGACTTCAGCACCACGTCGCTACACCACACCTGGGCAGCCACCTCACTAAAGAACTAACACTTGAGCATCAATGTTCAGAAGGAAACGCGGCCCCAATCACATCTCCAGAAGAATCCATCGAAGTAGCGCGCAAATGCGTCGTGACGGAACCTTAGTTGCTTTCTTTCACTCTAGAGAGGCAGCGCAGCCATCGCTTTGTGGCCCGCCTCATCGATTCACCAAAACAACATTTTCGATAGCCAGAGATCCCAGCCACCCAAATTCATAGTAATACAATTAAAAATGTCGCCCTCAGACACCCCAGCATCGCGACCGAAGCTGCCGGAGTCGGTCCACCAGTATTCATCACGACTAGACGTATCGCAAGGACCTCTGCGCGCAACCTCAGATAGTGTATTAGTTAACGAACAGACTGGCGATTATGTCAATCTCGACCTTCCACCGCGCAACCGCGACGCTCTTAAGCCCGCACCCACAACGGGTATAACCACCGCCAAGACTCCCATCATTAAACTTCCAGAAGCTAGTAACGGCGGAAATAGTCTTAACGATCCACGCAAACGAAAGTCTGTAGGGCAGGTATTCAAAGACATGTGGACGAAGCTTCGGTGATTGCCTGCCGATCAGAGGCGCTCTTACAAGATAGAAGATTGAATACGTGTAGTCAAGGGAAGAGCATCATGTCTATCGAAGCTGTAATCGGATCGCGCACAGTCAAACAGTGTTTGACTTGACTTTACGCCAGTCGTTGAATTAACCTAGAGGTAAGTAACACCCTCAATGACACTCAATGTGCAAGCATCAACGTTACCCATACTTCAGACGCTGTACGTCGCGAAAACGAGGAGTAACTCTGCTTTTATGTAAAGCACCAAACACGCTGCGTGCACTCTTCGTATACCTCTCCAGATCGCCATTGTCTGCGATACCTCGGAGCTCTTCAAGAACAGCACTTCCTTCCAATCACTGCGTGAAGCATTAGCTAAAGAGCAATAACATCACTTAAGCCCCCAATCGATCATGTTACAATCAAACATACACTACGAGCAGTGCATTGCCACACGCAAGACACCGTGCCACGTGAATAAGGTAAAGTCGAGTGCCAACACAGTCTAGGCTCTTCAAACTACATGCTTGATCTGCTAGCTATGTGTGAATCTCTACATTATCAAGTGCTCAGTATGTTACTAGCGAGTCGTCAGATACAATCAACCTGTTTGTTCGCTAAGAGTAGCAGCATGTATATATATTCCGCTGTGCTCCACGTATCTCTCCCCAGAACAACGACAACTATTACACTTACATTTCCATTACACTACACTGCCAACATCTCAGCAATCTACTGCCGGTCAGTAGCTTACTTATATACCCTTTATTTAATCAAGAACTCGAACACCCGAACACGAAGATCTCCCACGTATACCTAGTCAATCACTGAGATGGCCAACGAACCCAGTGATTATGATATTCGACAGGCAGAAGACAATGCTAGGAAACGGGCTAGGCAAATTCTTACTGAAAATACGTGGATACAAGGACGGGTCAGGACGGCGTTCATCCAACATTTCAAAATCCACTTAGTTGCCAATTATAAAGACAGGTGGGTTGCGACCTCTAAGAATAGAACAGTCAGAGTGCAAAATTTCTCGGAAGAAGAACTTCACGTTATCATAACGAGAGTTTGCGATGCTGTTTGGAATGGACCACCCCCTCAAGAGATCAACTGTAGAGGCCGTGCTAAGAATGGGCGTGGTGCCTATATCTATCCAACCTCAAGATCTACCCGCCTTTTCACAAACGGACGTCCACTAACCCATATAGATAAAGACTTCATGGCCCAGAACTACGGAATTCATGCATTCGATATTTCCAGCGCCTTCATTAATGAGAAGCAGCGCGCCGACGCAGAGGAAATAGACGCCATAATAAAGGAGCATGCTCGTGAACCCTCTCAAGCTCGTTCTCGTGCAGCTACACCTGCACCCATATCTCGCCCGGCTTCTCAAACAAGCAATAAGAGTAATAAGTCTGAGTATCAAGATTTGTTCAAACAATTCATGATTTCTAGAACACCCACACCAAATCCAACTGGAATTCCGGGGCCATCAGGGTCTACTCGTACCCATCGCAAATCTCAAGAACCTAGTCCAGGACCTGGTGATAAACGCGGAAATAGTGCGATTCGTACACCGACGCATGAGCGCTCTATGGAAGTGAGGACAAGCTCGCCATCAAGCGCTGGAAGTAATCCTGCAGCAGGTCATTCACCCTCGAGATTGCCAGTACCGAAGAGGCCGAGAGCAGGATCATCGACGAGCAATTTTGGTGTCACACAAAATAGAACAACAAGTGTTCCATCAAGTCCTCTTGCACCTACATCATCGAGGAACACCCCAAGTCCAGCATCAACGGGCAGCGGCCAACAACAAGGATACACCGGTAAAGGCAAAGGACGGAGGTTATGAGAGTGATGAAGGTGCATAGCCGGCTTGCATGAAAAGTCTCAGAGCCAGGGTTTTAGTCGATGTACACATAATAGTTAAGCGTTGTGTATTCTTGAAGTTTTTCAGCGGTGTTATATGTACATTCGGATATGCAGCGGTGTTTCATGGGTTTATACAAGACAAGCGGCTTTGCAATAGACATTGCGGAGCGGCATAGGTAGCTGGCTAGTCATTACTAATTCTTGGCATGTACCGTAATCTACAACATTCTACATATCTTTTCAATATCGATCCCGACTCTCGTTCTTCGATGCTTGTGTTGCGTAGTTGTTCTTATCTCTCGATCGAAACTTGTCGCACATCCTAGGGAAGTCGCGCAAGTCTTCCCAATACTTCTAAATTTACGCACATATAGCGCGGGTTCTGCATACGCACACTACCTCGAGACTTTTGTTTGCGAGTATTTCAATATTTAGATCTTCATGTGAGCTGTAGTTCATACGCCCGAACGGCATGAAGGCCTGCGCATCGCTTGTTTGTGCCTAACAAGCGGGTATACTAGTCTCTCAATAGCATGACGTGAATTGCACGGCTTTCGACAGCGATCAATCGCGTCACAGACAATAGCCATTGTTCGAGTAGCTTTTCTTGAACTCTGGTATTGTCACGTAATAAGTCAAATATCGAGAGTCACATACAAGAAGTCAAGAGGAGAAAGTCACCAAGATAGAGTCACATACGATTCCTGAAGGCCGAGAGCGTTTGTCACTGCTAGATATAAATGGTTAGACGTGCTGTACTTTTCCTTCTGCAGACCACCAACAACAACCACAACCACTACTTCCACCATTCCAACGTTATATCAAAGCTCCAACAATCTACTGCCAGTCAGTAGCTTACTTATATACTCTCGAACTAATCGAACACTCGCACACTCGAACGCTCGAACACTCAAACACTCAAACACTCAAACACTCAAACACTCAAACACTCAAACACTCAAACACTCAAACACTCGAACACTCGAACACTCGAACACTCGAACACAAAGATATCCCAACGTATACCTAGTCAATCACTATGTCGACCAACCGCGCCGGCGAACCCTATCCAAGCGATATAAGGAGAGAAACTAAAAACGGAGAAGAACGGGCTGGGGAAATCGTTGCTGCAAATCCTTGGATAGTGGGACAGGTGAAAATGGACTTTATTCGACATTTCGCAACCTTTTAGGTCGCCCTTTGGAGACTCAAGTTCGATTTAGCCCGTGTAAATGGTATCCGAGCGAAAAGAAATACGGAAGCCGAACTTCACACCATGCTCACGAAAACTTGCCACGCGGTTTGGCAAGGGCCACCCCCTGGAGATCTCTACATTCCAGGAGTCGCTAGCTCTAGAGGGAAGGAGCGTGGTGCCTATATTTATCCAACCCCAAAATCTGCCCGCCTTTTCACCAATGGAGATCTACTAAGCGAGATGAATCCAGATGTAGTGCGCAGCGTCATGCAAGGTACTACGGGCGGTGTCGGGGCTACACAATCAGGTACTCTACAAACAAGACAAGCATCGTCAACACAACAGCTTGGGAATCAACATGTAGGGTATTCTACACAACCGCCACCTCAAGGTACTTCTGGTAGGGCCAGTCGCCAGGAAAGTCCTTATGACCCTGTCGCCGAACTGGCGAAAATTCTCGATGATCCTAAAAATCAACCTCAGCATGATTTTCGCAATGAAAATCCGATGAACCCACAATCGAAGTGGCCCGAAACCGCAAAAGCGTGGGGAAAAACACCCGCAAGCGGCCCGAGTGGTGCCTCTTTCAGCTCGTGGAGCGCACTTAACTCAAGAGTAGCCAACAGTGCTCTACAGACTGGATCTCCCCTGCCACAGCCATATCCGCCACATTCTACAGCCCCTCATCATGATAGTTCACGTACACAACGAGTTAATGCACCAGCACCCACCAGCGGATACCGAGGTATTCCACCAGCACCCACCGGCGGACACCAAGGTATTATACAGGCACCCGCCGTCACACCACAACATACTATAGCACCTGCAGCGGGTGGTGGACGAGGCTACGGCCAAGGATCCGCCCATCCCAATCCTGTAAGTAGAGGTAGAGGCGGAAGTTCTAGAGGGAGGGGGCGCGGGAGGGGACGCGGTACCTGAGTTTAAGATGCATGGTACGTACACAGTACGTGGAATCGGAGATGGTATAAAGGGATTGCCGGCGGTGTTATTCTTTCTTTGCGTGGGCGTTGTCTCCAGCATAATGTTTCGAGATTCGATTGCTTCTCTGTTTACGGAGCGATGGTTTACGGACGGACACGGTCGTCCGTTCTCTTTTCTTTGCTCATTGCGGTCGGTATATCGGACAGGCTTTCTGGAAAGGCCTTGTTTATCAGTGCGTGTTTATAGCGCGGTTTCGGTATCGGGTCGGTGGTTTGCGATGGTTGTGAGTGCGGGTCTTTCTGTAGCGAGTGTGTTTATAATATCGGAGGGTTAATACTGGGACTTGAGAATGCGGACATGTACATAGCTAGACGAAAATATAAAAATACAAAAAAACGATGCAAGGGTGTTCATGCGCTGGGACTGATGTGGCGACGATGGCGCCGAGCGCATGGATGGTGGGTGAAGAGTAAAAGGAAAGGCGGCACGCGCAAAGACCAGCGATACGCAATACTAAACTAGTATGTTGGAAGCGATACCACCGAGCAGTACGATCCACGCAACGGCGAACAACACACGCGATGATAAAGGAAAGAGCACCACGGTGGTGGTCGGAGACGTGACGCGTCGATATCACGCTAGCAGCTTACGTCATCAACCTCGGTGGTTCCACCATGAGGTCACAACCTCATTCCGCAACCTCATGCCACGCTCCCATCCTTCATTGCACAGCCCCATTCCATAACGAAGGACAGAGTGCACCTTTGACTCACACTGGGGCCTAGTCATGGCTAGACCTCATTACGCAATCCCATCCCACAGGCACGTTCCTCATTCCACAACGAAGGACAGAGCGCGCCTTTGACTCAGATTGCGACCTGGTCATGGCTACACCTCAGCCCGCAATCACGATGCCGATCATCATCGTCGCCATGCGCACCCAACGCGAACACTACCGCCACACCCAGCGCCAACCCATACATTCGCATCCTGATGTTTCGTAGACATGACGCGTTTGTCTCCCATTTTTGAGACACGATGACAGCGTCATGCAGATGGTGTCACGAACCACCGTTACCGAATATCTCCCCCCCCCCCAATGTACTCAATCAAAGTACCCTCGCGAAAAGACCCCTTGGGCTCGAGCGCGAAAGACAGAGAAGATGATGTCGCATATGTTTAATGATGAGAAAGAGAAGACGCGAGCGCGCAGAAACATGTATACTTTCTCAGTGGAATTTGGAACGAAAACATCATTTTGTGAGCCAGTGGTTTCGGTCACTCGCAGCTGCGAGATGACATAGAAGGTGGAGAACGCGTAAACGATGACGGGTTTTATACTCTAGCACCGTATCCGACGCTCTTGTCGTAATTTCCTTCGTTGTCGAGTTTTGATGAAGCGCAGACGAGACGCGCAGGACATGCGCTTTTGATTCTTGCGATTTTGACATCGGAAGTACAGCCCCATCTCCACGAACGCACACATGTCAATTCCGACCAGAGTTTTCTAGAACGCCATGGCTAACGATTGTTGCGATTTAGATGTAAGAGTTGGAACGCAGAACGAGACAGCCATCGGCTTGATCGAACTAACTTTTGGACCCAGACATAAGTCTCATTTCGCCCCATTTTGGTAAAAGGCAGGAAAAAGAGTGCGACAACAAACTTCCCACAATCCCGATCGAAGCTTTATACCCGCCATCAACGCCAGCCTCGGCCGTGGAGCCAGCCCAGACGGCGCAGCGCACATCATCATCCCGTAGACGCGTTTTGGAAGAAGTTTACATCACCGCGCGGGCAAGTCCACAGCACATCGCGATGTGAACCATGTCTTTCAGCCACCGACATTTGAGTGGCTCAAACAGCTTTTAGTTCAATGAGAGAAGAAGCGCGCAGCATATCTCGTCGGATTCATTTTTTTTTGGTCGACCAGGCCAGCAGATCATGACGTGGCTTTTGATGATGTTTGGAACATGACCCAGGGAAAGAAGGATGTAAGATGACAGGAACAGTCGCGAAGTCGACGTGAATATAGAGAGGAGACAACCAGGCGAGCACATCTTCACTTCTCTTTATCCTTTCGGTCTTTTCAAAACATCGACGGTCGCTCACGACTTTTTGGTGTGGGTTTGACAACATGACTCGTTGTTCTTTTCATTTTCGTTGTGCGGCGTTGAAGTTTATGGAGAGGAGAAGATCTCTGCTTCGCACATTGAAGAGGCTGGGGAAATTTTGTGAAGAGGAAGAAGACCGAAGACAGACATTCAGGAAACGCATCGCTCTTTTGGAGAAAGCACCACATGGCCGAAGCGCATTGCGTTTTTGAGAAGAGACCCGGAAAGTAGGTATGTGATGGGGATGAAGAAGTGGTGAGAAGGGGGGGTTTATATATGCGTCCACGGGCTACCATATCACGTGCATCAATCTCTTGACGGCGATGGCGGGAATGAGTGAGCAAGTCCAGATTCCAATTAACAAGGACGCAGAAAAGCATGACCAGTCTATCAACGCGCATCGAAGCCATCACGAGTTGACCAAGAGGAGGTATGTTTCAAAATGAGTAGATTGCATGCCTCAGCCGCTGCATATTTTGGTGCTAAAAGAAGTTCCAGATATCCCGTTTCCCGCTCGCAAGACTCAACTTTTGAGATGATCAAGATGATGAGCAGCAAGTCAAAAGAGTCGATCGTCCAAGTCATGTCCACGCTGCCGCCTCGCGTTGAACCAAAACTCATGGGTATATCGCAGCGCCTTTTGATGGCCATGAGTTCCGTATAATGATCGCAGACAATCCTGCAAAACCCCGAAAGCAAAACCCATGCCGGAAATCATCGCCCGATGAACATGCAAACGTCATCCAGCGTTCATCGCAGATATGCCAGAAGCCTAGTGATCGCTTCACCGTCCTTCTCCAAGAGCTCGTCAAGCGGACGTTCAGGGCTCGTCGCCGTGTGCACCATACACGCCATGCTCATCCCCACACCCCACCTAAAGCTTCAACGGCTTCCTGTAGAACGGGCCGCGGTAGTTCTGAAGCCCACCCTCACAGTCCAGTCCCAGGAACGGGGAACCATAGTCATTTTTCAGGAACCGCCTGTCCTTGTGATCGACATACACCCCCTCTTTCATCGCCGACTCGGACAATCGACCGTTGATGCATGCGATATCCAGCTTTTGCGGGCCCATCTTGCGCAGCATTTTGGTGTAGATTTCCTTGACGCGGAGGACTTCTTCGCGGGGGCGGCAAAATTTGAAGCCGTAGTCCCGTTGTAGACATGCAGGCGGTTCGTCGTCAATCGGATCCTGAATGAACTGCCGGAGACGCCAGACGGTGGAGCGTTTGGTGGGTGGCGTGGAGAGGAAGGTCTTGAGGTAGGGGAATAGGTCGCGGAAATGGCTGTATTCGTACTTATCGAAAAGCCGCACGATGAAGTTCGTTTCTAGAGCACTCTGCAGTTCACGGAATGCGGCTTCGGGACCTTTGGCTTCCTTGAGTAGTGCGACGTAAAGCCCTGCTAGCTGCCTCTCTTGCTCCTCGTCCTTAGCGGTCACGAAGCCAAATGCGTACCATGCGGTTGTGTCTGTTGGAAGTAGCCTCTCTCTCAGTATAGTGCCAACCAGTTGCGCCGTTTGTTGCTTGATTGCGGGCTGCAGGGAATGGAGAGAGAGACCCCGATCTTGTTGGTTCAGGTAAGGTTGCACCGCGGTCATCAGCGGACCGAGGCTGGCGAGAGCTGGCTGAGGAGAAGGAGAGGGAAGAGGAAGGGGAAGAGATGGTAGGATAGGAGCTGCAATTGCCGTTTCGATGCATGTCGCTTCGTACCGGTGCATCCGCTTCGACTTCTCCTTCCGAGGTGGTGAGGACGGCTTGACTGTGTTCGGTGGCGTCGCGCTCGCCATCGGAGTCGCGAAAGATACGTTCTTTGCCGGTGAGCTGGGCCTCAGGTGGAACGTGACATTCCTAAACGTCTGCGAAGACCTAGCAGCCCGGACTAGGGTGCTATACACGCGTTCGGGAAACCCCAGGGTGCATATGAGATCGAACAACTTATTGGCGAAGTGAGTCTTCTCGAGGATAAACCTCATCCGGTCTCGCAAGTTGAGAAGTACCCTCGTCATCGTTGATGCAAATTGAACGAGCTGATTCAACTCCTTCATCGAGCCGTCGAACGCTTGGACATCATGAGATAGCCTGATAATTTTGTCACCGAGCTCTCGGTCCAGCAATGAGCCTTTGACGTCCATGTCGTCGATGCCGAACATCCTCGTGACGAGTTCGTCGAATGTAACCTGGTTTTCTCCAAAGCTCTTTTGTATACTTCGTATGACCTGTTCGATTTTATCGTAGTTGGCGATAAGAATGATATCCCATAGTTCTGAGCATGCGCGATCAAGTGGCGGCCCTAGACATGTTAGCGACGAACGCTTATACTCAGGTATAGCATACCAGAAGGATGCATCGCAACAGCGGCCAGCCCATCTTCAAGCTCGCGCACAAATTTCCGTAGTCCTTCATCGAGCGCAACGCTTGGCCGGGGCGATTGTATGCCTCTCGTCAAGAAAATGTCCATAGCGTTGCCGTTGGGTGCCTCTCGTATGTTCGCTGCGGTGCCTAGCATCTTTAATAGGCGCCTCAAAAAGCGGTCTTTAAGGCTTAACAGTATACCTAGTCCTTTAGTTGGTATGAGTCCAGTCGAGTCGTCGATAAGATCCTCCTCGACGAAGATGCCATAGGGATTTTCTTCGCAAGGTTCATTTCGAGGCGCTACGCTCGCTGATTGCTGCAGTTGTGAAGTCATATTACCGGGGTAATGGATGTCCTTCCGTTGAAGCGAGACGTAGGTTCGAGATAAGGTTAATTATCGTTAGAAGTATAGGTTAAGTGTTTGGAGCGGCGCCGTCTTGGTAACGACCTATGCCGCCAGTCAGTAAAACTCGTTTTCGGGGTGTATCAAGATCAAGGGACTCACAGCTTATACGCGCAGCGTCTTCGAGCGCAAAACTACGTCGTAATTGCCGTTCCTCTCGTTCGGGACAACTTTTCCGCTCGACTGTGGCCGACTTTCCGATTGATAGATGTACCGTGAGGAGGGTTACTCCATAAGGTATTCCCCGAAAATTTGGGCAATAAGACTTGCTTTTCAGAATCTTCCGAGCGTGATGCAGGAGAGGCGGAGGTCCAGACTGAGACGTTGATATAGACGACGGCAGCGATGACTGAGGCGGCTGCCTTTACCTTTACCTTTACTTCGGGTCGCCATCACGCCGGGCCGCAGTGACGTAATGCGCTCGCAATGCATTGGCGGGAGAACCGCGATATGATAGGAAGAGGCAAAAGGTAAGAGAGCGGTATGGCGAAGGGCCGTTCTGGGCCAATCTGGCGCGTTTGACACCGGAAGGAGCAGGAGCGAACGGCAAGGATCAAGATCGTGGAACGACGAGACGGTGTGAGGAAAGAACGAACGAGCGAGTTGCACATGAGGAACTTCTTACATGGTTCTTACATTGAACACAAGAAAAACAGAAAAGACGCTGCAAGCGATGCTAATCCAACAACAACCAAGCCCGCGCCGATGCATGCGATGCTATACAACTATCTCAGCCCGCTTACTTAGATACTGAGGCCAGTGAGGGCCGGAATAGACGCAACAGCAGCAGTACTACAACCACCACCACCTCTCCACCTCTCACCACCTACCCCCCAAACCCAAACACCTCCGCCGTACTCAACATACTCATCCTCGTCCCCCACAGCGCAATAACAATCAACACCACATCCACAACCAACAAAACCACCGCACCCACCATGAACCTAGGACAAAAGATCCTATAAAGCATAAGATGCCTCCTCAGATGCCCCGCCCACATCGTCGTCGCCAGATTAACAGTCGCATAAAACAAAACATGGGTAGCCACCGCCTTCGTAACCACACTCAACAAACCCTTCTTCTGGGGTTTAACCTTCCAAAGCACACACGCCGGAACCGCGATAGCACAAAGAATCTGTGCGCCGAACGTGTTGAGGATGACGATGATGGGGGTCCATGGGTAACGTATCTTGGTCAAGGGGATGAAAGCGGATTCCCATTGGATGCTAGAGAGAGTGGCTTGGTGGCCTGTCTTGAAGAAGTGGAAGGAGCCGAGGAGGCCGAGGACAACGGGGCCGATGGCGGATTGACGCAGGTTGTTTGTGTCGATGATTTCGAACAAGGAGAAGAGTTGCCAGACTAAGATGCCAATTGCACCTGCGCCCATGGGTTTCTGCAACACGGCGACGGCGAGGTACCAGATCGTGATTAAGAGGGCGTAGCGCGAGCCGTGGACGTTTGCGAAACCGTGGATGATGACTTCTTCCTTGGGGGCGCCGTTTTCGTCGACGCCGCCGTCTTTGTTGATGATGACGTTGAGGAGGGGCTTGGACCAGTTGTAGATTGAGTAGCCAAAGGCCATGCTGATGGCGAGCACGATCTGGGCGAGGAAGCGCTTCGTGATGCGGATGATGTTTTCCCAGCCGGGGGCCCATTCGCCGTCGTCGGCGGCGTCGAGGGCCCAGTAGGCGGCGGACATCATTAGGCCGAAGCGCAGTGCGAGACCTATCCAAAGGGTCGCGTAGTGCTGGTAGCTCTTGGTGCCGTCGTAGTAGCTCTTGATGAACGTGGGGATGAGGATGGCGGCGGCTACGGGAATAGCGAGTTGCCATGGTGCAGATGTAGTAGACAGAGTGGATCCGTAGTATGTAGACTTGCAGTATGGCATCTGCTCTTCTCTGCACAGTCTCGAGAAGCTTGCAACCCTGAGCAAGATGGTGAACAGGATGGAGTGGTAAGCGCCTAGGGTGCGGTCTGAAATGCTCTTTCGGCGGAAAGATGAGATAAGTGCAAGAACACCAAAGGTGGTCAGGAAGTACAGGAGAATCTCGTCCTCCCAGATGGTGAATGAGTTGGCTGCAAAGCCGCCAGAGAGCGCAAGTGTGAAGATGACACTCGTCCATCCCCAAATGCTGTTTGGCATCGGAGGCATTAGGCGGTAGCTCAGCGAGTAAAAAGTAGAAGCGCAGCCGACGATTCCAGTGAGAGCAGAGGAGAGGACAAGAACGTGCGACTTGGCGTCCACTGGCATGAAGATGGTAAAGCCAACACCAACGATACCTCCGAGGACCAGACCAATGGCACCTCGGGTGAAGAAGACGGGAGTGACGTCGGCACGATCGCCATGGAGGATCCTAGCGTAGAGTGCGACTACGATCAGACTGGCGGCCAAGACTGTGACACCACTGACCATCCTAGGGACGTCAAATCGAGCCCAAAGATCGCGACAGATGCGGAGCGTGTCGCGCTGGTAGGCACCGAAAGCCTCGTACGCCTGGCGCATCTCGTCACTGTTGGCCTTAGCCTTTCCGAGCGAGTTCCACGCGTCATTTGCGTTCTTCCAGAGGGCAAGCGAAGAAGCTCGTGCGCTATCAGCAATGCCACGAACCTTGGCATACTCATGTTGGTAGTTGTGGATCTGAGCAGCGGTCAGGCGGTTGACGGTCGCCAAGTTTTTGTAGTCAGCACCGTCCTTGCCGATGAAAGCCTCTTCGATGGGCTTTCCGAGGTTGTTGAAGGGTATGGGCATACCCAGAAGAAGCGAGAGAGTTGGGACGAGGTCGATCTGTCCGACTGGCCGAGTCTTTGCGTTGGCTGGAGGCGCGACATAGGCAGGATTGCTGCGTCCGAATACACCCTTCTTCGAGTACATCCACAGGGCCGCCTGGATCTCATCATCTGACTCTCCTCCATGGTCACCCTTTGCGTCCATACCATGGTCTCCCATAACAACTAAGAGGGTGTCGTCATCGATGGACCTAATCATGCGCTGGAAGACCTTGTCCATCTCGCTCAACTTCGCGGCCATGGCAGGGTGATCGGGTCCGTAACGGTGTCCAGCATGGTCCACGCCCAGATAGTGACCAAATATGACATCCCACTTGTCGGCATTCTCAGCCTGCAAAAGCGGGAAAATGTGCTCACTCACGCCATAGTCAACAGTGTGTAGATCCCAGACGTTGAACGAATCGTACGCGTGCGTGAGGTTCGGCTCGAAGTAGTCCGGGAAGAGAGCGTGCCATGTGTCGTCACCGAGGTGAACCATCCTCTTGCCCGCATTCTTCAATTGTCCCACCAAGTTATCCTCAAGAATCTCCTGGCCCGCAAAGTTGCTACCCACGTCGATAAATGTAGGCAACGTGCCCGTTGTGAGCCCCTTCAACCTCTGCATCGTGGCCGTCGGCGGATCAGCGATGAAGGGCAAGAGGAACGCGTTCTGAGGCTGATTCCTCGCCGTCTCGTATAGCACGGAGAAAGCATTGTGGAAGTGGCGCGGGGCGATTGGAGGGGCTTGGGACGGGTTCTCGGCTTCGACAGCGAGATCGACAGGTTCGAATTGTTCGGGGAAGGGCACAGTGAAGTCATATCGCAGCGCGTCGACGATGATGACGACTGCTTTGTTGAATGTCTTCGGGTGCCAGCACCCCTTTTCCGCGTCGCCCGGTGTGTACGCGTTCGCAGAGTCGATTGGGGGGACAGCGCATTCTGACTTGTGGTCGAGCACCAATCGCGTGAGAAGGAAGCCGCTGGTGAAGAGGTAGATACCGAGGATGTGGAGTATTCTGGTAACCGTTAGCGATGCATGTCTTGAGGGGAAAGCCGGGAGAGGGCTGCGATGGGGAAACCTACAGTATGAAGGTAAAGAAAGCGACGATGATGCCATGAGCAGCCTTGAAGTGCACCTGCCCAAGCCTCTTCGCCTTATCAGGGTCGTGTACAGCTGTCCGCTGACCTTGTGACGGCTGCTGCTGCTGTGGCTGTTGCGCCGGCTTCTGAACCTTGGGCGCGGTGCTCCGGCCGGCGGTGATGTCGGACAGAGGCGTGAAGACCTCGCCGTTCTCCATGACGGATAGAGAGGGGTGGCCAATTGGCGCTTAGCAGATGCCAAATGGAAATTCAATGGGATTCAAATGGCTGAAGAGGCCTCAAGGAGCGACAGAATCCATGGGGAGAAAGTTGGTGCGCTGTTTACAAAAGTGAGGATGTGTCGCAAGCATCCACAAGTGGATCACCCATTTCGCCGAGCCTCCGATGTCATGCATCCGCCATCGAGGTACGCGCCTCGCGCCCGTCGCTAGCTGTGCTTGGGACTTGTAATACGAGCCTTGACATCATGCCTGCATGCTTCCCGTTCGTACCAGAATACCCAAAGACCCTGCATGCGCTGGTTCATTCACGTCAACTTCACATCACGATCAAATGCACGCGTTTTGTATGTCTTGACAAAGGATTGTATTGGCTCTCATGCTGCTCTGCACAGTCGCTAGAGAGTGAGTTGTATATCATACATTAGTGAATAAGAGTTATGTAAGAGGTGTAGAAACCTCGTTGAAGAGATGGCCAATCATCAGGGGGTATACAGCAAAATGGCCAGTCAACTCCGAGAATATACATAAATGGTGTGCCCTGCCGGCTATGCCACAGCTTCAGCAGGAACGGAGAAGCTGACAATCAGCGCGGTATAGCCGTCATCAAGGGTAGTCGGTCGTAGCCAAGTGGCTGGGAGGCCCGGGCTGCTAGACTTTCCGTAGCAGCAGTCTAGCCGGGTGTTGAGAGTTGGTGTCATGAGATTCATGAGTAGTATTTGTCGTCCTTCTCCTTCAGTCCGCCCATGCGATCCAGGTCGAGCGAGTCGAAGCGGTCTGATGCGTCGCGCTGGTAGGCTGGGAGGTCCTCTTGTACGGGCTCCAGTCCGACACTGTGGTCTCCAA